GACTTTGGTTCAGTCTGTGTTTTGAGCAGATGGCTCTGGGTGTCCACATCCACTGCTCAATCAGCAGTGTGCCTAAGGCTTGCAATGACACAAACAAGGAATTTATGTCACCCTCTAGCCTTCAATGCTGTAAGTATTTTAACAAAGGAGAGTGTAGCTTATTTGGTATTGTCACCCTGCTGATCCCCAAACAAGGCCACATGACAAAGATTTCTCAGCCTGGCTGCCAGACTCTGCAGTACCTCTTTGGTTCCTGAAGCAAAGTCAAACCTGCTAAGCTGTTCTACCAAATGTGTGTGCAGGGATGTGTGCACAGGTATGGTGGTGACACCACTGAGAGGGGAAAATAGCTTAAGATTGCCTTCCTCTCTGGTGCTGAACAGCTTCAGAAAACAACAATGTTATTCTGTCACTTGATAGCATTTTTTGGGTTTTTTAAATGATACAGGCAACTGAGGGTGCCCTGTTGAAAGTAACTAGTACTTGTTATTGGCTGGGAGAATGAGCCATTTTCATGTATTCATATTCCAACTATTAATTCATACTGACTCTCCTCATGGTCCATAGTTTTATCACTAATTTGGCATCCAGCTCTGCATCAGATGTTACCACATGATCATCTTCATTCTTTGGTGAATGAATCAATTTCCAGTATTTCTTCTGTGCTTTGTCAGCTATTTTTTTGACCTGTCTTGGGAGCAGAAATCCATGAGAGATTTCTGGTTTGTGCATGTGTGTATAACAGACTTGAATAGTTTTCAAGAACTGGGATAGAGAGTTAAAGGAAAGGAATGAATTCACTGAGCATTTCCTGAAGGCTCTTCCAAGGGATTTCAGCTGTCTTTCACATGCAGTTTAGAACAGCTGTGGACTGATCAGTACTTCCCTATTCTAAATTTATAGACCATTGACAGTAGGATGGGGGGAGTTTTGGATAAGCAATATAGATTATTGAGATGTTTTGCTCTAACTGGTTTATCATGTTTCTCTATACAGCTTTTTGTGAGTTCTGGTTTGCATTCAGAGGTAATTTCAAGCATTTAAAGAAATTTCTTTGCTTAAATTATACATTATAGACTCAAAGTGTAAGTAGTAATCACAGAGCATTTCTTTCAATGTTTATTTAGTTCCACTATGTTTTTCTACCAAGATCCCCTGTTGGACACAGGCTGCTAGTTGTCCAATGGAATAGATTGCAAAGACATGGAAAATCAACATTTTGAAGGTTTCAAGTATGATTGCTGAAATTGCTACAGAAATTTACATTTTTGTGGTTTGAGTTATGTTTTCAGCATTCCCTACAGTATATGTCTTGATAGACTCATCCAGACTGAGCAGCTGTCTTTCCTAGACCAGACTTAGCCAACTTCTCACTGGCAGCTGAAAAGCCACTTTTTTCATGCAATTTACAGGGCAATTTAAATTGGTTTTCATGACAACTAATTTCATCCCAAATTGTGCCTGTAATTTGAGATATCTGCCAGTGAGCTTACATCAAACAAAATTGGTGATTCAAACTTGATGGTACTTTTTTTGGCATATCAATTGCAATGTAAGCTACTACAATTTGTTGTTAGCCAATGAAGTATCTGTGCAGGTCACTTGATAAATACAGTTTATGGATTAACACCCTGCTTCTCAAATTGAAGCAGGGTGTCAATCCATAAACTGTATTTACCCCTGGGCTGGGGTGTGTCAGGGCCAGCTTGGCAGCCCCATTCTGACAGTGTAGAAATCTGAAGTGTGTTTACCTAGTTCTCATTAAGTTTTATTCTGATAAAACCTTTTGCCTTCTCCACAGTAAGGGAAAAGAGCACATGCTGAAATTTCAGAGAGGTCATGGAACAGATCAGCCTAAATCACATCTTCTGCTTGTTTGGGACTTTTGCTTGTTGTTTGGAGGGGTTGTTTGCTTTTTTGAGAATCATGTTTATCACCACACAATTTTGGAGATAATTTGTACCCTCCATTAATTCAGTAATGAGAATGCCTTTAAAAATTCTGCAACTCTTCAAGTTCTATCCACATTTAATAAGACTTAAACTAACATAAGAGTGTAACAAAAGTGTGTTTTTCCTTTGGGGAATTTGTGCATGTGCCTATCTAGTGCTTTCTGTTGCAGAAGTGTCAGAAAATTCAGGAGAAAACCTCACATTTTAGGAGTTTTCATTTAAAGTGCATTCCTTTATCTTTGTGCTTCCTTCTGATCTCAGTGAAACACTTTTGTTTAAATTGCAGAAGTCACTTTAAGCATATGTGGTTAGATCTGTTTCCTAAGGTATGCATACTAAAATCTAGAGGAATATGTTGTGTTTATCCTGGAAATTTATCAGCCTGTACAAAACCCATCAAAACTTCAGTAAGTTTATCTTCACTAAAGACAAACCTCACCTTGGGCTCTGGACTGTAGTTGAAAGGAACAGGCAGAGCAGTGCTGGCTGGAGATCTGCACTGCTGGCCCAAACTCCTGTGTCTACATTGTCCACACACACACATTCAGGTTGTGTGTCACTGGAATATTTATTTTACTTAATGTTTCCTTCCCCCTTCCCTTGTTTTTAATTCAGTCTTGCAGTTGAGAGAAGACAGATTAGAAAAACCAAATGCCAACAAGAGAGAAAACCCAGTGCTCTGCCAGGGCTGGCTGTAGGGAAGGGATGGCAGCCATCCAGAAGCAAAGATGAAATTCTCAAAGCAAGAAGAAAGCTGAAAGAACCAGCTGGGTAAAAGGAAACACATGAAGAGAAAATGCAAATGTGACACTAAGCCAGGGACCAAGCAGGTGAAACCTTGTCTTGAGCTAATGCTTTTGATGTGTGTCAGTGCATGGTGGTGTTCGAGCTGTGTTTAGAGGCAGCACACGGGTGCTGGTGGACAGTTCATGCCAGGTGTCAGTGCAGAATGAAAAGATAGAAATAGAACACTGTGTATTGCACAGCCTCTCAAAAACAAACCTACCCCCACCTCCCATCAATAAAAAACCAAATGTAGGTCAATCTTGCAGTAGCTGATTGTCTTTGTTAACCTCCCATGTAGAATCACTTTTATATTTAAGCAAAATTGGCAGTTAGTACATAAAAATTCTTTATGGTTTTGTATTATGCTGCTAGGGCACTAGGAATATGCATAAATGGTTTTCAGAGGAGGAAAGAATTATTTTTTGTGAGTAGAGTCACCATCAGCACCTTTACTCTGGATTACCATGTTTTTGACTCAGTTCTTCTGCAGTTTTAAAATCAACTCATGTTGATCACTGTAATTTCGCATGATTATTTTAAATGGAAGGACTGCATGTTCAAAAGTCTTATTAAAACATTTTACTTAAGATTACAGGTTATTGAAAGAATTGTCAGCCAAATATAAAATGTCTTGGTTTCAGGATAATTTATGGACAGTGGTAATAGATATATTCCAAAAATACATTGTACTCACACTGGTATCACTCATGTTAATATGGTTTACTTAGTTCCTTCTCTGGCTGTTCCTTTGCCACAGTACTTTTCCAGACAAGAGGAGGGTATAAAAATGCTCCTGCTTGTCACTCTGGTCTATCAAAACCTACCTTCTTAGATATATTCTGTGTATTTTTTACAGGTAACAATAGATCTGATGGATTCACTGAAATTAAAACAACTAATGCCACTGGGTTTGCTTGAGTCTAAATAATATTAGTCTAAGAGAAGCTGACACTTCAGGTAACAATCTTTTTTAAGAAGTGTTTTGTAAATCTTTCTGGGAAGGCAAGAAAACCATATGAAGCTTATTTACCTTGCTTTAATGAGTCTTTAGACATATAAGTTGTTAGTTGCAGTACTTCACTTGCAGAGCAAAGGGATCAGAGATCCTTACCCTGTCCTTTGTCATTTTCACCAGTTTTGCTCTTTGATATTTCTTAAAACTCCTTACTCAGAACTATATATGAAGTATATATATAGTTTATATATGATATATATATGACTATATTATAAACATGGAGGTTAGAGTTCCCACTCTTCAAAGAACAGTTATTAATTCAAGCATTTGACTTGTAAGTGCTGTGCAGGTGTTACGCTGATTGGAAGCCAAGGCACTGGTGAGGATATTCAAGTGAGGTCTGCACACAGTTTAACAGGGTGCTGCTTGAACAGCACATGTATGTAATCTAACAAGCTGCAGCAAAGCTGTTGCATTTGAATGCTGAACTCAAAGCAAAACCACCAGCAGAGAAATTGAGCATGTTTGAATAGTGCTTATTCTCTGTCAACCTAAAAGCTATTGCAACATTTTGCATCTGTTCTTTGTAAGAACAAATTCCTTCTACTTCTGCTTTCTCTGTGTGATCCACCATTGTTTCTACACATCCTTAGGTCCAAGACACTACATGAGTGGTACTGCAGCACAAGTACTGTAGTGCAAGGCTGGCATTCTTATAATCTACAACCCTAATTTATGAGCCACTAAAATATGGAATATTTCATCTGCCAATAAATCTGTCAAGTTCCTGTATATCATCATATAAATGTATGCTATTTATACTGCATACATACCAAGTCTTCATCCTAGAAAGAAGCCTGGGTTCTTAATTAAGGACTAAATCGTAAGAACTGCCAACAGCCAGACTGAGAGGAGAGCTGAAATCTCATTTTTATCTGAAATTACACACTAAACCAATGAACTGTTGATAAAAGGTTTATTTTTTTCCTCAACATAAAGCAGGTAAACTCAAAAAATAATTTAGTCATTGAGTAGTTTTTCTGTAAGTATCAGCAAACAGTTTACTTCTTATTAAAAGGGCTATACAAATAGTAATTTAAAAGATGTCAATTCAAAGCCATCCAGAAGGGAGGAAATTACCTTTGCTTTGTTTCACATGAATCCCATTTGGGCTTTGCTATTTTTCTGTGACAAATATGGATATAGGTTACCAATACAAAACCAGGAACAGCTCTCTGAGCAACAAACTCCTCCCTTCTTCAGAAGTTGATTGTGTAGAGATGCATGTAGAGATCATTCTTTTAAAAAAAAAAAAGTCTTCTGGCTGTTGACCTTCATGCCCCAACATCAGAGGCTGTAGCTGGGTATCTGTAGCAATACAGTTTGTTGTCTGCTCCTCCACTCAGTAACAACTGATGAGAGAAGGAAACTGTGATTAATACCAGAACTAAGCAAAATAAGTACTCAGAAGTTAAGGACTCAGTTTTTCTTTCCTTTATAAAAAGCAGCAGTGAATAATGAACTGTTAATGCATTACTAAATCCCAGAATCAGAGTGCAGAAGCAACTTTCTCTTACTCTCCTCTTATAATTAGAAGTGAAACTTGTGTAGGAAAGCTGCTAAAGCTTTTCCTGACTTTTACAGTGAACAGGAGCCACACTGAGAATTTTGAATATTCACAGAATGGGGGATTTGGTAATTTTAAATATGTGTGTACCATTGCAGTAGCAGAACAGCTTGCTCTAGAGGATTCTACAGTTTCCCCTTCTACATGTACTGATGGCCAGGCCCCAGCTTTGCTTCATGCTTTAGTCCCCATGGTGGGAGGCCACCTCGGAACATGTGTTCTCTGAGTAAGGTGCAGTGCTGTTCTTGTCTCTTCTTGTTTAGAGAGACAAAAATGCTCAGTGAAAGCCACAGCGCTCCTGCTCCCACCTTTCCCCTTTGCAGAGTGTGGGGACACGCTGCAGTGCCTGGGACATCACCAGACATCAAACACAGCACAACTACAGCTGCCTGTTCTCCTCTAGCTTTAAGCATAAGGAGACAACAGCCCATGACTGCTCTTAGCTCTCTTCTTAAACATCATGCATATAAATCAAGTAACTTGCTCTTCAGATTCTTACCCCTGCTTCTGCCCAGTCCACGCACAAAACCTTGTCTTCATGAGCAGCCAAGTCATACAGAGGAGCTTTGCAGCTGGTGAAAAACAGGTTTGAAGTTATGTGAGCAATCGCAGACAACAACTGCTCCCAGGGAGAAATGCTATCCCAATGCTATCAAACAGATGTGATCAAGCAGTTATAAACACTTTGAGAGAGTACAGACATTGACCATCTGGGATGCTTCCTCTGCTTTCCCCAGAGCCAATCACATCAGTATTTTCCTCTCCTACATTCCCAAAGAGGAAAGCAACATTTTTCATCTGCTTGCAAACAACTTTGAGACTGAAATTCAATCACTTGTTGGGAAGAATTTATTATAGCTTCCTTGTTCCATGTGTAGATGCTGCTCAACAGCATAAACTTTCCAGCCCTGTGGTAGCCTACAAGTATTTTTCTCCTTTTTATGGTTGACTTCCAAAACCTAGAGGGTTTTCACAAATGCCACAGGTGTTTCCACTGACTGGCTGCTTTTTCTGTTTCATGAGGGGTAGCTCACCCTGTAAGCTTATGTGCCACAACAACAAACACAGGTTTATTTTACCTCCTTGTGTCCCAAAGCTTCACAATGTTGTCCAGAGAACCAGAGATCAGCTGGTGCTCGTGGGTAGGTGACCACTTCACAGATGTCACCCAGCCTGTGTGAGAAGTCAGAGACAGGAGAACCAAGGAGCCATCTGAATGGAAAGAGGAAAAAAGACATCAGCAGATGCTGAAACCAGCATTTGAAGATGTATACAAAATCCAGTGCAATTGCAGTTCAAGTTAAGTGAACTCTAAATAAAGTGATCAAAAATGTAAGCCATACAAGTTCTGGGAATGAAAACCAACCAACCAAAAAAGAAACCAACCTGAAACCGCTCAAAATGTATTTTCTTGTCACTAAATTTTCCTTTCAAAGATTTTTTTTAATCAACCAAAAAATTACTTTTATCAATAACATGTAATATGCTGATGAAATTTGGATTAGATTTACAGAAGCTAAACAAGTAAATGTTATTTACTATTTGTGGCCTTCTGGTACCTACAAAAAGGGATGTGTTCAAGGCCAGGCTGTGTGGGGCTCTAAGCACTCTGCCCTGGTGGAAGAAGTCCCTGCCCAGGGCAGGAGGGTTGGAAGTAGATGATCCTTAAGGTCCTTTCCAACCCAGACCATTCTATGAAATGTTTCTGTGACAATAAATCTGATAGGCTTAGCCATAATATCTGTAATTCCATCTGTTTATGAAATATGGTACCATGTCCAAGTGACTACTGTTTCACTTTAATGGTTATCAGACCAGCCTCAGCCTGAACCTTACCAAAAAAAATCCATTCTGCAACTGCACAGTTGAACATTTATTAGTAAGTTTAAAAAAAAAAGAATAATTTCTAAATTCTTAGGTAAGACATTAAAACAAGTCTTGCAGCAGAATACAGAAAATAGATGTAAGCTTTATATTTAATAAAAGCCCCCAGATGGCTGGTTTCAAGCAGAGGGACCAGAAAAGTTTGTGAGATGTCTCTTGACAGGACAAAGTTCTGACTCTGAAGAACACCTTTGAGACCAGCATGTTTAGCTCACCTTCGCTGCGAGGATCCCACAGCCTGATATGTCTGTCGGTGCTCCCTGATGCAAGGCGGCGACACAGGGGTGAGTAGGAGACAGAGTTAAACACTTTGTTTCCTGTCTGTCAGCAAAGAAAATAGTAACTAAGACAGGAGCTACTATTTTACACAGCTTTTTCTTTTTCTCTGAGCTGGACTCAGCTAACCTACAGCTCGAGTATAATGATCTCACCAAAGTGGATTTGAGATCTCCAGTCTCAGCATCCCAGAGTTTAATGGTGTGGTCCCATGATGCGCTGCAAATTTCTTCAGCATCTGTCCACAGCACAGAGGAGATGGCTTCTGTGTGGCCAGACAGGGTTGCCAGGGGAGTCTAAAATACAATGGGGACAGATTCGAGTCAGTTATCAAATAAATAAAAGAGTCTGATTATCCTGAGACATACCAGCAGTTTTAAAGTCACCTTTAGCAAAGAGAAATTATTTGCTGTGGCTACACTTCTAAAGAAAAATCCTGGACAAACGCAGAGCTCATCTTACCCTTGTTAGTCCAAGCTGTTCTGTTTTCTGCTTTTTCCGTGGTCTGTTAGTTGCTTCTTCCATTTCATCCTCTTCATCTGTAGGTACTGGGACAGAAGACAGGAGACTTGAGCTACAGATTTTTGAATTCCATCTCCATGTAAGTAATTAAGCAAATCCCCATATTTATGGTGCTTACAGCCATCATGCAGCTGTGATAACAAGATCTGAAACTGTAATTAAGTAAACCAGTAACTCAGCATAGTGATGTATATAACCTTACAAACTTACATCTTACCTGCAGACCAGATCTTTAACATCTTATCCCAGGATCCACTGCAGAACTGTATGAACAGAAACATTTTGTTAAATGTTGATTCAGATGGACCTTGGAAGAGACCTGCTTGAAAAATGGGTTCTGACACACAAATAACAATGCTGGGCTCCTAAAATCCCCCCCCAAAATGTTTGGCATACATCAAATTATTCTTTTTACTTCCTTTGTAGGAAAAATATCTACAGAATACCTATTTCCTTCAGCACCAAAAAGATTGACTTTAAACTGTCTGATATTGAATCAAGCTGGGAGCAGTGACTCCACCTTTGGCAGGAGTGCTCATAAGTGTTGAATTCCTGGGTGAAGGGAAAGAACCTCTTTATCACCTGCTTCTTCCAAGAACTCTGGTGGAAATTTTTTTCCCACCAAAACTGCCATGAAAATTTAGGTCAAATTTGAAAATACTTCATTATAGCATACAATTCTCATGCATTTAAATTTTAACTTGTTTTCTAAATGAAATGATTTTGTGATTCTATGGCTTAGCATTGATGTGACACTCTTAATCCTCAATAACCACCACTCATAACAAAACTGGGAAATTATCACTTTGTCATAAAATCATGATGATGAATACCCACCCATGCAAGGATAAAACCAGGATTTTTGAGGTACAGGCTGCTAAATCCCAAACCACTAAGGTTTTTTTCCAGAAGTCACTCACTTTGGTTCTTGTGCAATCAACAGCCACGGACTCAACACTGCCAGCGTGTCCCCTGCAGCAGTGAAGGGCTTTCACTTTGTTTTTCTCCACGTTCCACTCCCAGAGCAGGACAGTTTGGTCCATGGAAGCACTGAGTAACAGGCATGATAAACTATCTGAGGAAGAAAAAAGTTACACTCATGCCCAACTCAGCTTTCCAAGGTTTTTATAAATAATTATTCTAATCCTAGAGGAAATAGCAGATAGACAGAAACTTATATGTGCTTCAGTTTACATCATGTTGCCCTGCAAGTACAGTTATAGTAACTACATATACACCAGCATTTGCTGATGGAGACTGCAGGGTGGATTGACAACAACCATCTTAAAGTGACTATATTCATTATTGTCAAAGGACTATTTTCTGCACACCATGACTTAATTTCTTACACCACTGACAGAGATTGAAATAATTACATTTAAACAATTAAATATTCATAGTTAAGGAATGCTAACATTCCCCCCCAGGAAATCAAACTACTACTGTCCCCCTGCTATATATACTGACCTTGCTTCACCCACGCCACATCCTTCACTACTTCTGTGTGCCCAGCTATTGTGGTGATGGATTTTCCCTCCACAGACCAGATCCGAGCAGTCTGGTCATAGCAGCCAGTTAATATCCTACAGGTACAGCATTGGAAGCATCTTTAAGACCAACAAATGTTTTTATGAAATAAAGCCTCAACCAGAAACGTGGCAAAACTATTAGCAGAGTAACCGGTTTAAAAGAAATAGCATGAAAGAGGAAAACATATCGTTTTGCTACATAGCAAAGCTTTGTTAAAGCCTTGCAACTGGGAGGCCAAGAGTACAGGCTACAAAGACAAGCAGTGAGAGTACTGCATGTTCTGGTTGATGTGACTTAAGATCCCTTATACAATTTACATAATTCAAAACTCAATTTGTTAGTTTTACTATGTTGCCAGAGGTTCTCAAAGCATTTTCAAATCTCTACTTAATATATGAACATTACCAAGCTCATTGGGAAATAAATGTGAAAATTCAGTAGGAAAAGGCAATTATGCCTCTTTGGCTTTTTTTCAGGAAAATCTCTGGAGAAAAGTAAGCTATTCTATTTGTTGCTGATGGGTGTCATGTTGGAAGTCAAGGTTTTAAGCAAAAAAGAGTAATGAGGAAAACTTGTTTTCCTTTAAGAAAAAGGATACTAAACAACATTTATTTTGTTCATTTGTATAAGCAATATCTCAAGTTCAGTGTCTCTAGCTGTTTTCTACCTGTGTTAAAGTCACTGTTGTGACAGTATAACAAGCGAACTGCTTACAAAAGCAAGTAGCTGACTTGACAGGTTAAAAAAAAAAAAGCAAAGAGGAAAAGAAAATCCACCCAAGGGATTATTAAAGAGAAAATACCACTCTATTTGATACCAGGGAGGAACATAAATAAGCAACACAAAACTTAGAACTGGCTTAGTGTGGTACCATTCTTCAGTGGCTTGAACAGAACTGATCCAGTCATCGTGGAAGATGCATTCTTCTGGCTGAGGGGCCATGTATTTCTCCACATACTCTATTTCCACCACTTCTTCCTGAGCTCACAGACAAAATACTTATTTAGTGATGTAGCATGGTTTTGGTTTTTTTAATCACTTAACAGTAAAATTTAACTGTAGTGTGGCACAAATATACAAGTTTATTGAGCAAAGGTCTTGGTATCCAAGTTCTTTGCCACATCAGTAGAACAAAAATATTTAGGAAAAAAGTGTGAATTACATTGCTTTCCATCTTTTTATCAAATTACTATAATAGCAAGCTGGAAGCAAAAGCAAGTGATTTCAGTCTTCTTACATTTCTCTTCTTCTACATTTACTAATACAAAACTGGTGTCTAAAACACTGCAACATTTTCTAGAGGTAATATTAAACATTCCCATTATCCCCCACCATAAGACACAAAAATGTATTCAGTCCAATGATGAACTGAATAAGAGAAGAATTTCCCTCTGAACTGTACACAGACAACAGATTGGATAACATCCTTGCACTGCTCTGTCTGCAGTCTCTAATCACTGCAGTTTGTAATAGATTTAAAAATATAGGGAATTCTCCTGGGAAAGAAAAGAAATGAAACTGAGCAAAGAAATCTACCCAGTCAACAGTGTAATATCTAAATCAGATTGAAGCAAACTGGCTAAATATGTTATAGTGCCCAAGAAGGAGAGACACCGAGTATGACTTACTGTGGAAATGTTTTCCATTTCCATGTGTGTGACCAGCGGCAACCGCAAGAACTGCCCATTGATAAGGAAGTCAAATTCCACATACTTGTGATCCTCTGAAACAAATGGGGAAAACCAATGTTCAGGTGTCACTACTTATTTGTCACTGTCAAAAATGGTATAATTTTGTGAATGGTTCAGGAAATGGAGCCAGGAAGAGTTTAAAAAAGACCCAAACATAAACAACCCCAAAACAAATGACAACAAGACAAAAACCCCAACCAATTAGTTTCTTCTCCCAGTTTTAAGTGAGCAGCCCTTCACTTCTACAGGATTATGTAAGAGGAAGGAAAATTTGCTGTTGGGGTTCAAAGAGTTGTTTGCCTCTCATTGCATTTTCTCTGTAGCTCTGTGTAATCAAACCCCAGTGGTGCTTCCTGACTGTTCTGTAGGGATCTTGCCATTCTCATTACTACCAGCTAGAGCCCTGTATTTGTGGCAACAGTAGGAAAATCCTGAGAACTCTTGGTTCGTATTTCTCCCTTTGTAATGGCATAAATGACAAAGGCTCTGCATTCTGTCAGAAGCACTGCACTGTGGACCAGTTTTCTGTTCAGAATTGTTTGCAATGTCACGGGTTGAAAGCAACTTGCAAAAGGTTCAAGAAGCAGGGTATAATACCACTGACCCAGTTTCTTATAGAAAATGGGATTTTCGAACAACATCGCACAAGTGGCTTTCTCAGATCAGCTTTCAAGTCAGTCGGCCCATTTCAGCCCCGACAGAATAGCTGAGTTTTCTTAAAGGCCGTTATAAAAACGAAACCTCTGGTTTCATTAGATCTTGTGCCAGGTTTGGAGCAACACTTCCATTCCCATCTGCTGTGGCAGCTTGGCCTGTGGTGCCGGGCACACACAGAGCATTCCAGCCTGTGGTCCATCTCTCTGGGAATGCCCGGCAGCGCCGGTACCGCAGCGTTTCATTCACATCAATTCCAGGATTGCCTCACGGCAGGCAGCCGAGCCACAGCGGCGGGGCAGGACCGGCTCGGGGCCCGCGGGTGCCGCCGGCTGTGACAGCCCGCGCGGGGCCGGGCCCGGCCTGGGGACACGGGGCACGCCGGGCTCCGAGGGGCCGCCCCGGCCGCGGCACCTACCGTGCGCTGCGGCCAGCAGCTTGTTGATGAGGTGGCTGAGGTCGGTGGTCTCGGAGGTCGCGGGCACCGAGAAGGGCACATCCTCCACGGCGAACCTGCGGGCACAGCGCTCCGTTACCGCCTCCGCGTCACCCGCTCCCGAACCCACCCCCGGCCCGGCAGGGGAGGCCGCTCACCTGCGGTTCTCGGTGCGGAACCGCGCCGTGAGCTGCGCCGTGAGCTGCGCCATGGCTGTCGCCGGCACCGAGCACGTGTCGCGGCGCGCCCCGGCCGAGCCCCCGGCGGGACCGCGCGCCGCCCGCGTGCCGCGCGCCCGCCGCGCTCCCGAGAGGCCGCGCGCCGCCGCCTTCCCGGCGCCCCCCGCGCGCCCCCGCCCCGCTCCGCGCTGAGGGCGGGCGCGCGTGCGCGGAGCGGAGGCGCGCATGGCGGCGGGGCTGCGGGAGCCGAGCCCAGGTGGAGTAACGCGGCTCCGGCATCTCCCCCCGGGCCGCCGCGACGGGGCCCCGGCCGGTGCTTCCCGCCGCCCCCGCCGCGGGGCTGTGGTGCCGAGGGGTGCGACGGGTGCGGGCTGAGGCGCCCTCCGCGCTCCTCGGGGCTGGGGCGCGTTCCGGGGTCCCTCGCAGGTGCGGGAGCGGTTCCTGGGGCCGCTCCTGAGGGCGGCCGCCCCGGGCTGTGCCTGGGCTGTGCCGGTCTGTGTCCGGGCTGTGTCCGGGATGTGTCAGGGCTGTGCCTGTGCTGTGCCGGGCTGTGTCCGGGCTGTGCCTGGGCTGTGCCTGTGCTGTGCCGGGCTATGTCAGGGCTGTGCCTGTGCTGTGCCGGGCTGTGCCCGTGCTGTGTCCGGGCTGTGCCGAGCTGTGTCAGGGCTGTGCCGGGCTGTGTCCGGGCTGTGCCCGTGCTGTGTCCGGACTGTGCCGGGCTGTGTCCGGACTGTGCCCGTGCTGTGCCGGGCTGTGCCCGTGCTGTGCCTGTGCTGTGCCGAGCTGTGTCCGGGCTGTGCCCGTGCTGTGTCCGGACTGTGCCGGGCTGTGTCCGGACTGTGCCGGGCTGTGTCCGGGCTTTGCCCGCGCTGTGCCGGGCTGTGCCCCTGCTGTGTCCCGGCTGTGCCGGGCTGTGCCCGGGCCGGGCAGTGCCCCGTGTGCCGCCCGGGGTCGCTGGAGCGGTGGTCTTTGCTCGGAGTCACTCGGGTTGTGTTTCTCTGCACGTCAAGCGGCACACCCACAATAAACTGCCTACTAGGAGTAATAAACCCAACGCGGGGTGGACTTAAAAAGAAGCTGCAAGTGAGTTTGGTGTTTTGGGAGAAGGCTGCTTGTGTGAGGACATGCTGTGTGCTTGCGCTGTTTATAAATTTTTCCCCCCACCTTTTTGACAGTTGTTCGTGGCCTCTGGGAACAGCCGGGGTTTCCCTGAGTGGTGACTCGGTGTTGGAGCGGGCGGGTGCTGGGTGTTTGCTGTTTCGTGAGGCTCTGAAATCTCATCTATTTCTGAAGCATACTTCACAGACCTAGAGTTGTTTGTCAGCGAAATTGACACAGGGTCATTTTCCAGCTATTGGCGTTGTCTACCAAAAACTGACTTGAGAAACCTTTTATGTGTGAGTCCCCAGATCTTCTCTGTATTCTTAACAGCATCTGCCTCCTCTTCTGTGATAGAGATAATGCTAAATCTCAAACTTAGTACAAGCTGACAAAGCTAATTGTAACTCCTTTACTGGGAAGTATCACTATGTCCTGATTTCCTCCCTGATATGTTTTGCTGTAATTCACGCCCTTGTGAATTTGTGCTACTGTGAATGGTTGTAGAGAAATGTGCTCAGAGGGAGCTTTTTCAGACAGTGAATTTTGATTGCTGTAAGCTATGCAGTTATCCAAAGTCTTCTTATAATCTTGCAGAAAACTCAAAAGAGATTGATGGTGAAGCATTCAATTGTATGTATTTTCTGTTAAGTATAACCAGCACTCTGCATACAGTGCTCATGTGGTTATCATGTTTGCCTGTGGTAGCAGTTTCTGTGGCTGCTTGCTGTCTTTGTAGAGGTGAACCTGGGACAACAATGGCCATCGATTTCCCTTTACTTGAGAAAAGGGCTTCCCAAATGGAAGCAGGTTGAAGGAAGTAGACCTGTGGCATTAAAATACACTAACCCATGTGTTGGAAATGGCCCTGGAATACTGGAATCGGGAAGCAACCTATAAAGTGGTGGGAGTGGAGCTGTGTTAAGGCTAAAGCTGAGGCACAGAGAACTGCCTGTGTGCTTTGAGGATGCAGCTCTTGTTCCCACTGTACACTAGCATTAAACTTACACATTTCTCCTTCAGCCAGCTGTTAAACGTGTGATGCCCTGATGTTACAGTGGGAATTTTTGTGGTGCTCACTTAATGTTTATGAAGTGATACTTACATGCTATTTACATGTTCCTAACAAATATTCCTATACTTACGTATACATAAATATACAGGATTTAACTCTCCTGTTTGGGGAATTCTTCAGCAATATTTATACAACTGTAAGATCTATTAACTGTGCATGTACTTGTACACCTCTGTAGAAGCATATTTCTTTTAGACAAAAAATAATAATTTTTGTTTGTGGTTGCACACAAGCACTTAGGTTAATGAAACCTGGATGGTTAAACCATGATGTTGATTTTCCAAGTGGTGTGTGTGCCAGTGGTTTGCCTGGGTTACAACACTGATCAGACAAAATCATGGGGCAAAATTGTAGCACAGGGATTATTTTAAACACAAATATAAAATATATGAGCTGCCTATGAAAGGAAGCTGGATAAATATCACTGTGTATTTACCTCACTGCTGGATTTTTCCCCCTGAGCTTTGTTATTAACTATTGTTAGCTACAGGATATTGGGCTGCTGGGGTCATTGGTGTGTCCCCATAGAGCTGTCCTTGTGTTCTGTTGTTGGGTTCCAGCATGCTCAGAGTCCGTGTTATCGGTATCTGGAACAAACTCAGTTTATCTCAAAGAACTAAATGTGCTGCTTTTGCAAAACTGCTGTCTCTTCTTTACATCTTTGAGCTGAGAGGAAATGGTTGAGTGATGATGAAATCTGGTTTTCTGGGGTTTTTTTTCCATTTGCTGCTAAGATGCTTCAGACATTTTAACTGAAATATCTTATAATTGTTCTCAGATCCAAAGCTCAAAAATATTTGGTAAACATGAGGTAACTTCATTTGGAACTTGGTCTGGAGTGTCATCACTTGAAAATTGAATGGAAAAATAAATCTGCTTTAGATTAGAGTATTAATATATTGAGCATATGAGCTGCTTAACTTCTCAATGTTGTTTGTATCAGCAGGATGTTTTATTCAGCTTCAAAAGCCAAGGAGATGTGGATTTACTTTGCCTTTGTGTCCTTTATACCTTTGCAAAGCAGAATAAATCTGTGCTTTAAGAGTTGTAGGGTTCTTTTGAAGTTACTCTCTAGCCTGTTACAGTCTCCTTGCAAAAGCTGTAAACAGTTGAAATTCCAGAGCCAAGAAGGTCCATCTTGAGGAATTTGCTTGTGTGGTGGTGAAGAAGATACAGCTGGTAGGAGTCATGTGCTAATATAATGCAGCCTGTCTTTAAAATAAAATACTGAAGGGAAAAATCGTGACCACCCTTCCCCCTCCTTCACCCCAAACTCCAGGAGTTTTCTGCTGTTCATTTGGGTATGTTGTGTGTGTAGTGTTATAGATGTAAACTCTTGTTAGGCAGGGGCCAAGTTAATTGTCATTTTGTCCTGCTGCTTGTGAATGTTTGGGATTGGTTGCCGCTTTAAAGGGTGTGCTGTGTGCATGAGAGCATTGTCCTGTGCATGTGGCAATTCACTGTCCAATATTATCTGTCTGTTTGAAGGTTTGCAATGGGCAGCTGAGTATCTTGAAGCTTCCTTTCGGATAGGAGATAGATCTCTGGAGTGCTGGGAACTCTTTTTGTCTTCCACCACGTGATTAATGCCGAATTTTGTTTTCCATATCTGGTGTTTTTTTCTGCCCAAAGCATATCACTGTAGACTAACAATAGTAATTTTATTTCTTTTCCATGCTGTCTTATAAGCCTTTAAAACAAATTGATTTGCTTCAAGATGTCTGCATGACAGAGTTGCATAATGCAAATTCTGTCTGGTGATTATGGAAGAAGGTGACTAATGTATTTATAAAGCACTGCTGGCATGTGCTTAAATATCAAGTGTTCTCTGGATGTGTGTGGTTGTTAGTTCAGTGCTTTTGGACATATTCAGATGAAAATCGTGGGAGGGTGCATGTGTGTTTTGTATCTGTGTATGCAATGACAAATCAAGCAAATTGTCTCATATAAAAGGCTGAGCTCTACTCCTGGAGCAGCACACTGGAATTTTTCTGCAGTGAGTAATAATGTGATAAGGAGGCAAGGATTTCTGGAGAGCTTTGCTGTTGCCTTGCAACAGCATTAGAACTTGTAACACTAAGTTTGTAAAACCTGAAGACAACACCTGCAGCAATCTCCTGGCAGAAGGCTAAAATGAACTTCTGTAACCTTTTCAGGTCACCTTGTAATGGAAGAGAGGGGAGCTGACCATGACATTGCTATGGAAGGATCTAATGATTTGTTCATAGGCAGCTGTAATGCTACAGGAGAGTCAGAAACAAATGATCAGATTTTTCAGGTGAGCTATGAATGCTTTGTCCTTGTAGATGCTTCCTTTACAGTTTCAAATATGCTATTTCATCAATGCAGGGCTTTTTCTTGCCCTTAGAGTAATGCATCATGTCTTTTAAGAATGTGCATCCTTCCCTTGGGTTCCTGTACCGTTCAGTTTTGAACTGATGAATATCCAGATGTTACATGTAATGACAACCTTCAGTGATTATGTCCTGCTATGGTGCTGGAGAAATGCATGTTTTATTTTGTTAACTCTTTAAAAAAGAATGCTTTGTGACATGTGTTGGAGTAGGAGAGGTTCAGAACAGGTGAAAATGAGGTGGCATTGCTTAGTGACCAAATGTGACAAATAAAGAGTTCAGGGACACAGGACACCTGTGTATGTATTGAGGGGGAGGAGTCTTTCATGTATTTTTTATTAGATATTGCCAGATCTTCTTATTTGGGGAGATTTCTGTGCACGAATCCTCTTCTGCAGAATGTTTTTCTGACATGAAATGTCATTCAGGTTGTGATTTACTTGTGTGCTTAGGATCTGTGCACAATGGCTTTAACACAACAGGTGCCACTTGTTTGGTGCTGCTTTTCTGGTATAGTTCACTGTAGACAGTTTCAGCACAGAAGATTTATACCTGCAGAATTTTTGATGGGATTATTTAGATAAAATCTGACTTTAGATAAAATTTAGAAACACTTTTCCTCATTCTTTGATTTGTAATGTATTAATTTTTGTTGCAAAAACATCAGAGTTGTTTGTGCAGTTGCTGCAAGAGATAGAACAAATTGCAGCCCTTCTTGCACTGGCCAAATGACACCTTGACATGTTATTGTCACAAGGACTGCCTATTTTCCCATTATTTGACATGCTTAATGTTTGTGTTGTCACAGTTTCAACAAGACAAGTATTTGTGCCTATGCTCTATAATTTAATGAAAATGGCATGTACTCTAAGACTTTGGTTCTACGAACTTGATGAAGATGCACTCTATTTTTTTAGGATTTTGAAAATCTGATTCTTGACCTTATGCTGTACAATTCCTGGCCTTGAATCAGAGGTTGTGTTGCTTGTATTTCTTCTGTGGTAAAGAATTTTTTAAATGTGTAGAGATTTTTTTTCTTCATAGCTAAATGCATGTATGGAAAGGCCAAGTGGAATGGTATCTAGGATTTCTTCTGAAGTCAAATCAAGTTGGTGAATATTTTACAGTTTTGTTTTTGGTATAAGTCTTCTCAGTTTCTGGGCAGACTTGAGGTGTTTGATACATGGTTTTTGGGGAGTAGATTTTGAGCAAAAGGGATTTTCTTTTGTCTTAGTAGAGAGACTTCATTCTAGGAAACAGGTATAAGAATAATTTTCAGCATGGAAGTAGAAAACAAAAGTAGAACTGCTAGTGTTAGCCTCTTGATCCAGAAGGTCAAGAGCTCCTCTGAGTGTATGCTATTGCACACTGGTTTTAAATGTTCTTTTCTCTTTCTTGTTTCGTTTTTTTTTCTTTTTCCTTCGTAGAAGTTGCTGCTCAAAGTACATTTTACTGTTTTTCCTCTGTGAAAGCAACTGAGGTGCATGGATTCCAGGGATCTATTGTTCGGCCAGAGCGACTCTCCCCCAGCCCTGCCCATCGCAGTCCCCCTGTCGGGCAGCCCTCCCCAGGCGCGGTCCTGCTCTGCCGAGGAACTGCACGGGGCAGAGCAGCCCAGGCAGCCGCTGTGTGAGCTGCAGCCCCTGGGAGGGCCCGGGGCACCCATGGTGAGTGTTCACACACCAGGGAGCTCGCTGAGGAGCTCTCTTACTGGTGGTTTGGTGCAGCAACAGCTGATTCAGACTTTATATCTAGCGACAAGGTGGAACTTTTCTGTGGTACAGTTCATGCTCCAGTTGCCCTTCTTCAGGTAGGCAAATCCTGTCTGCAGCAATTACTAATTTTAAACTGATGTCTTTTGTCATTATTGAGCCTGGATGCTGCAGTGTGACAATCTTGTATTTCTACTGCTGCTGCTTTCTCTATATTCCCTGGATAAATCTCTGGGCTTTTTGGGGAATCAGTACATTAGCTAAGTCATTATGTTTCACCTTTCTCCCTCAATTAATTTTCTTAAAATGTTACTTTGTAATTTGTAACACCTATTTTGTAAAAAAGGCAACTCTCTCACCCAGAGTCCTGTGTAATTATGTCCTGTGTAAATATACCAAGAGGAGTTGTTCAAGTTTTTCAGAATCCCAGGTGATTGAATTTGTATTGTTTTTTTAAGCCCTGGGACTTTTCTTCTCTCTGCTTTTGCATGAAATGCTGCCCATAGAGGTCAGTTTGTTAGAAGTAAAGCTCACAATTTTTATGTTACTATTAGTTCTGCTAGTCCATGAATGGAGTTACAGTGAATCCAACTATGAATGGCTTTCAGGTGTTTGTGTGTAATAGTAGAATTGTCAGTTTCAAATAAATGTGTAGAATCAAATAAATTCATTGTAGAATCAGGTAAAGTACTGGGTTTTTTTTCTTTCTTTCTTTCTTTAATTAAAGACCTATTTTAAAAGGGGAAAGTAATTTTAAGAAATTGACAATAAAGATACAGTTTGCTTATTATGTAAAGTCAAGTAAATATACAGTCCCTAACTCTAAGCAAAATATTTCCTGTTCTGGTAATAATCAAACCCAGTCATGCTGCATGATCACCATACAAACTGGAGCCATTCATCCTTCTGTGTGACTGCCTTACAGATGATTGTTACCAGCCAGTCAGAAAATGGGCAGGTGCTGCATGTCATTCCTTCTGCCCAGCCAGGAGTGACCCAAGTGATTATTCCTCCAGGTCAGCTTCTGGATGTGACCAGCACACAGGGTGAGTTTAACCTGTGGGGCTTGAGGGTTTGTGCTCCTGTGACTAAGCTCATCCTCCATGCTCTTTTTTAAGCACCTCGTTTCCTTTCCTATGTTATAAGACAGAGTGCACCCTGAACCTGCTTTCTGATTTTGAATCTGGTGCCTCCCACACCACATTTTCTGCTGGGCAAAAGCATAATGAAAGCTTATGAGAGCTATTATGCCCCCTTTCTCAAGGGTGTGTTATGGGTAGATTGACATATCAAGCACAGAGTTGTTTCCTGCCTTATTTACCTTTAATAAGGATATTTGTGCCACCAGCTGTACTATTGGCTTCAAATGTTCAGTATTTGTTTACTTCATTGTGAGTTAAGTAGTTAATTCCTGTAATGCAGACAGGCCAGAAGAACATTAAATCTTCTGTTCCAGACATCACTGGTGATGATGCATCTTCTATGAAGCCAAGAATGAATCATTTAGGTAGAAATTCAGTTCCCAGTCAAGGAAAATAAGATGTAACTTTCCATTCATTGGGATGTGTTAGTTGTCACATTTTAAGCATGTGCTGAGATACACTGGAAGCCACATTTTCAGGTTTTCTCTAGAAAATGGACATACTGAAATCTGAAAGCATTGATTATTTATCTGCAATCCTTGCTGGATGGCAAAATGCTATGTACTAGGTTGCATTCACAGAGTGAGACTGAGAACGAGGTGGTCGCATTTTGTTAAAGTCTCAGATGTTTTTTAAACTGTTTTTTCCTTCTCTCTATAAAGTTGTCAAGATTGGTGCACTGACTGAGTGTTCGTGTGGAATGATAGCTCAGAAAAAGAGTAGAGTCCTGGTGCTGGGTGAACAGAAGAAAGATTTGGCATTCAAGCAGTGATCTAGCTCTTTTACTTAGGGTTGCAATATGTTTTCCTGACCTTGCATTGAAAGACTTGTTCCTACCCTAATGCTCAACCTTCCCTCTCTCTCCAGCTCTTTCAGGGGTAAAACCAGGTTTGATTACAGCAGTCTTACTCTACTTTAAAGCTGACTTGGGCCTTTAGTTACAAAATAATTGCTGCTACTCTTTGTAAGCACTAAGCTGAAATACTAAATAGTAGTTTTGCATTTCCATTTTAGACAGTTGGGAAGACTTGCCAGCAGTTTACTGTGGAGGTAGAAGAGAAAGGAGAGTGGCCTGTCAGCTCCTGAGTTTCACTTGTCTGCACATGGTGGTAATGCACAGAATGGTGCAGACTTCAGAGTAGCCTGTAGTGTCTTAAGGGCATGTCCCTGCAGGAGGAACCAGTGCTTTGAGCCAGAGTGGTGTTAATCCAAGTGCACACTTAGGAATCTTCTTATGGAGCTTTGTGTGGATCCATTTCTGTACTGTGTCAATAGCTTACCACTCTCTCTGGATGAGGAAAAGAAGCTTTCATAACTGAAGGGCAAAAATCCCTCATCTAAAGAGACCTCATGTGTTTTTGTTGAGACCAAAATATTGAATGTCTGCTTTCACAGTTTTCCATTATGTTTTTGTTTAACTGTACACACAGACTTCAATCTAAGAGCAATTTTTGGCTTGTGGATTGCTCCCCATTACCAAGAAAGGCTAAAACATTTGTTCTAACAGCATGTCAGATTCAATTACAAGAGGCCTGTTTTTCTTGTTTAAGTGTTCTTTTCTAAGTACAAAGCAATATCATTACCTCATTTTTTCTTATTTTAAAAGCAACCAGTGTGTGACTTGCAGCTGAACTAAATACTTGTGCAATCCTATATGGATTCCTGAAAGCAGAGTAATTTGCAAATTGCTCTGATTATTTACCTTCACAATTACCATAGTCATTAAATATAAGCAGCCTTACCAAGTGTATCTTCATATGTGTGCCAGTGTGAGCACTGGAGCACATGGAGTTTGAGCACTGATTCACAACTATTAGACTACTTTATCATATATAAAATTTCTTTCCTACATCAAAAGGCTTGCTTCAAATACAAAGTTTGATCATAGCTTGCTTTTCCTCATTCTATATTCAGTTATTAATCAGGAAGCTGCTTTTTTTTTTTTTTGGTAAAGATATTTCAGAAGAGAAGTGTGGTGATGGGAATCTGCAGACTGTGGTGGTGGCTTCCATAGCAGACAGTGCAAGCAGTTACATTCTACATCCACAGGCATCTCTCACTGTATCAAAAAAAACAACCACCAGGTAGGTCAGGGGTTAAAGGATGAACAATCACTTTGATGCAATGTTAGCACTGCCTTTTTTTCTTGCAGTTTGTTTTTGCAATGGTTATCACAAAATTACCATGGAAAAGAGGTTATGAACACACAGTGTACTGAATGTTTGGAGGACTTGAATGTAGAAACCAGAGGGGTTTTTTAATACTTTTATTCACTGTAAGTTATTTTAACAATGAAATAGAATATGAAAATTAAAACCACAGGTTTTTAAGGCCTGTTAATACAATATCCATAGTTTGATCATATGCTCTAGGATTATACATAATACACTGATTTGATCTTGCCTGTAGTTTAGACTAAGTTGTTGCTTTTCTGAATATCTGTATAGACTTCTATTATTTTTTTTTCAGGGCAGTGGAAGATTCTTTTCCCATCCCTCTTCAGCCATTGCCACTAAATACGCCTGCATGGGCACGCCGTCTCAGGAACTGTGAGGTGGGTCACAAAGAATTCTGGCAGAATGTTTTATCATCTACCTCTGAGACACTGTTCCTGTTCCTTGAAAGGAATAATTTATTGCTGTAGAAGTGTTCAAGCTTCTTGGTGTATAGCACTGGTCCTGCTAGCACAGTTAAACACATAAAATGCTGTGAAATCCCTCTCTATTTTAGAATAACTGACCATCAACTGCTCCTGAATTAAAAGAAGTGGTGCTGAAAACCTGATACCTTGTGGTGCTGGGAAGAGCCAATATGTGCCACATGTTGTTCAACAGGGTTTGCTGTTGAATGACAGAGCAAACTTTGCTGACTTCTGCAACTGTCCATGTGGTTTGTGTTATCACATGGAAATCAAAATCCATGTGATTGGCCAGTGTCAAGTCTGAGGTGGGATGTTTCTTGAGAGACCAGCTACCCCTTCCTCCTGCTGCCAGACTCTTTCTGACAGATGTTTATTTTACTTTTTCTTAATACTTTTTAAAAGGAAAGCTTTTAAATACTCCATAGCTGCCTAATCTCTTTAGATATCTCTCCCATTTTTTTTTCTATTGGCTTGGCCACTGGCAACTAGAAGTTGCAGTTTGAGGGACCTAGAAATTGAATTTCTTTCTGTATCTGCTTAGAAACAATTTTAAAATTAAAGATATCAATCTATTCCTTTTGTATTATGCCATTTATTTAATACAGATGGTACCATCCACTCTTATGTCCACATAAATGTTAAGAAGTCAGAAAATTCTTAGCATGAATTCTTCCCTGGTGGAGATACCATTTTTATAGAAACAGTTGCTTAAATCAGTTGGACAGTTAGTTCATAAAATTCACTGTGTTTTTAGCACTATGTGGTAGATTCTTTCCTGTCTTAACATCCATGTGGCTTATCTGAATCATTTATTATTGGTATCATAGTATCAGAGGACTTAGGATCTGCTTTGTCTCTCTATTACAAGAAATTTCACCTGCCGTGTTTAAAATTCACAGTGACATTTGTAGAAAAGTTCTTCTTTTTAAAGAAAAGGAAATAGAAATAGTGTCTATTTGAATATGTTCTGAGGACACAAACATCTCCCTCTGCTGTTCAGCAAAACTGTTGCCTGTATGCATTAATCCTCCCTGATCCACCAGAGAGTGCTGGGATGTATTGTGCCTTTTTTTGGGCATAAGCTAGAGACACTGGGATTTTGAGGTGTCAATTATCTTTCAGGTGTCAAAACGTTTTGTTACTAGTAACAGAATTGAAGGGTCCTACTGAAATTTGCACATTGAGTTTGGAGAGATGCTGATAAACATGTCAGCTCACAACTCCACTCTCAGCTGTCTGCCAGAATTGAAGCAAGCTTAAAGCAGTATTGCAGTCTCTGTGACACACAAGGTGTCAGCAGGGGAAGCCACTGCTCTCCTAAGGCCAATGACTCCTTGGGCAGTTGGGACTGTGGGCAAACACAGAGCAGTAAAAGCTGGCTGTCTCAAAATGTTCAGCTTACACTTGCTGTGTCTGGACTGCAAAGTGCCTCTGTACCCTTTCCTCAAGGAAAACTGCAGTCTTGGTGTGTGTACTCTAGGGTTAGCTTTTATGTACTTTGCTGAGTCAAGGCCAGGGGAGAAAGAAGGAATCACTCAATTTTTTGGCTTGAACCTTGGAGTTAAAGGGCTGAAGAGTATGTGATTGCTTCAAGGTAATTACATTGTTGCAGAGTTAATTTAAACAGTTTCTTTTAACTTGTATTTAGTTTTCAGTGGTCTGATCAGAATGCATTTCCTGCATGTATCAGCCTACTGAAACAAAATGTAATTTAAAACTGCATTAATTAACCATACAATTAAATTTAAAACTACATTAATTAACCACTATTTGTCTGAGGAAGGTAGTCTTGTTTGTCCATTTTTTTCCTACTTGTGAAGCCTGTAGAAAGCAGGGATCTTACATGTTGTATGGTTTTCTTCTTGTCCTCCTCCTCCCCTTCCACCAGTTTAGGGAAAATTATCTAACTTGGGCAAAAGCCAGAAAGGGAGAGAGTTCTTTAACTGTTTTTGCTACTTTTCTGGCACAACAGTTTTGTCAGTCTTCTCATCTCTCTAGAATAAAGTCAGTGACCTATTTTTAGTGACAGGTATAAGGTATGGGAAAAAAAACCAGCTGGTTTTGCAGCATTTGTTATGTGCAGTGGTGCTGTAATACCGCTTCTGAAAGGCAACATCCCAGACTTCTGGAAAGAAAGAAGTTCTGGTACTTCTCAGGCTGCTTTCCTTCTCCTGAATTTTTCAGATCAAGTTTTGTTCAGAAATATTATTTATAACTTCTAGCTAAACAATTGCCACTGTCTCTTGCTCCCACAGGCGTGTGAGTGCAGCCTGTGCAGATGTGGTCAGCTGCTGCAGCAGTGCCTGCAGAGCAGTGAGCTCTGAGATGTGAGCAGCTCTTGTCCCAGTGACTCACACCCACTGCACACACAGCCCTCCGTGTCTGCCCTTGCACCAGCAGCAGCAGCACTGTGCTGGCCCAGTTCATTCACAAGATTGTCACTGGTTCATTGTTGACTTCAGGTCTTGCTAACCACAGACATTCTGTTTTTCTTACATGAGTGTGAGGCAGGTTTTAAGCAGTTGTTGCTAAGGTATCTGTTGATAACCTTGGGGAGACACTGTTGCTCTTTTGCTGTCAGTATTATTTAAACATCTAGCTGTTCTGTCAGTGAAGGTGGCAAATCAATCAGACCTTAGTACTCATTCACCATGTGTTTTTCCTGCTGTTAACACTTTAAGACTGAGCTGGCAAACTACTCTGGCTGTTACAGCTGCTTGGCCAGCCTGACCCTCAGCTGCATATGAATAGAAGCAAGCATTGCGTTCTGAGTTTGGATGAAAAGTTCTTCTCTGTTCCAGTAATTTTGTTGCTTGTTGGCTGGCCTTGGCAGACCAGCACCGAACCAACTGCGATGGAACTGAGTAGCTGGAGTAGGAACTACTGAGTAGCTGGATAACTTCTTTGAGTCAAGTTAGATGCAATTTTTGTGGAGTTGCCCTGACATTAGCAGAGTTAATTAAACCATCCTCAGTTTGCACATGGCAAATCTGGTATAGTAAGTTTCTGTGTAATGCTGAGAATCAAGAGTGTCTCGAAGGCTGGGAGGGATGTTGTGTAAGACATTCATTTCAGAGTTAGTGCACTAAGTAGGTGAGACAGTTACTGGTGGTATGGGCAGGTGCAGTGTGTGTTGCAGTAGATGCAGAGACGATTATTAGTGATTAGAGCTCCTCTATGGCAGTCAAGTGAAAACCTTAATCTAATACTAATTTGTCTAGTCAGTGACTGCAACAGAAGTATGTGTTGGTGGTAAACTACGGGAGTGAAGTTGTCCTCTGGAAATCAGAGTTGACAGTGACTGTAACCTTTTTAGGGGCTCTTGGTGTTCTCAGGGTCTTGAATGACTGACAAACTCCTGACCTCAGTGGGGATTGCTCTTCTGTTAGATCCTATGATAAATCTCTTTATGAGGATACTACTGTGGGGACAAAAAACATGGAGTGCCAAAAATCTGGGCCTGTGTTCTCACCTGCCGGAGTCCCTGAGTGCTTTCACGCACAGTGTTAGCAGTCAGCTGGGTGAATAACGCTGTTGTTTCCCGTCCTTTCCACGCAGAGAATTGGGGACTCGTACCGCGGCTATTGCGTGAGCGAGGCAGAGTTAGAGAGCGTCCTGGCGCTGCACAAGCAGCAGACACAGAGCGTGTGGGGCACGCGCCAGTCTCCGAGCCCCGCCAAACCCGCCACACGCTTGATGTGGAAATCCCAGTATGTCCCATATGATGGGATCCCCTTTGTCAATGCAGGTAACTAACTTTTGTTTTAATAACCACTTGCAAAATTTCAACATCGCCTCCCAGCTGGCCGCAAAGAAGAATCTTTATGTTGTTCCTTAGTTCTGATAAGGTCGAGACACAAACATAAAAAAGGAGCAGCTTGCACACTGCTGTGAGAGTCTGAAGGAGATTGTCTCCTTTTTTATGTTTTGCTGTGATTATTTCCTTTTGTTCTTTAGAGATTAGCTAAGTACCATTTGATGGGGGTTCTTGTGATGAGGTCTTTAGGGAGAGGTCTCATTTGCGCTATTAGGACCTGAAAGTTCTTGTAAGGGTAAGAGCTTGTTCGATTATTCTTGCCTAACTTGAAGATTCTTAGAAGAGTTTGATGCACAAGAGTCAATAAACTATTTAAATTGCAAACATTAAAGTAATAAATAAATAAATTCAAAATGCCAAACAAACAAGCAAGATAATCATCAACAGACCTCAGCAGAGAGACTTTTAGCATTTGGGGTTCTTTTTGAAATGTTCATGCAGACTTCACAGCTTGTTAGTTACATATTTAGCTCATGCAGTGCATATGTGAAATTGCCAAGAGTTTAATTTGGATATAAAATGAACGGGCTTTACTTGCTACATAGAGAAAATGAGTGACAGGAATGTAAGTTATGTTTGGGGTTTTCCCTTTTTTTTTCCCTGAAAGTTAGTGAAAAAGGGAAATGTTAGCACCAGTTTTAAAGCTTCAGCCATAAACTGTGAGGTAAAAGAAAACTAAGAAATAAAATCAAAGCAACTTACTCTTTTTTTCCCCAACATGCGTGTGAGACATCTTTAGTTTCATCTAGATCATTTGGTATCTTATGGAAACACATTATGTTGCTTTTATATAATACTTCAGAAGTTTCTGGGTATATCACTTGTGGCATAGGCAGCTCCTTGCCTGCTTACTTGAGTGCACAAACTATAAATAAAATATAACTAAACATGATGTGGAAGAAATTTGGAAGATGTTCCTTTCTTGACCACTTTAATGCTTTGCTTGTCAATCCCTTTTGTTAGAGGTCTGACTGGAAGAAGTCACTTAATTTGAGTTTAGAGCAAAGCAATATTTGTTTGAGCCCGTCTGGTTTTGTATGGGTGTACTGTGCTGAAACTGTTATTTAGCAGTTAAGATTTCTTAACTGCGAGGCTGAGCTTTTATGGGACAGCATGGTCTGAAGTGTTGATTTAAGCCAAGAGGCTGGAAATATCTGCTGACCTTGTCTCATGGTTTGACCCCAGCTGGAAATCACCAGAGCTGCTCACGCATTCCCCCAGTGGGATGGGGAGAGAATTGAAAAGGTAAAATTGAGAAAACTCATGAGCTGAGATAGGAACTGTTTAAAAAGGTAAAGGAAAATCCACACACACAGTCAAAACAAAGTAAGGAATTCATTCACAGTTTCCCATCCCCAGGACAGCATTTGCAACAGTTACTTGGGAAGACAAACACTCTAACTTTGAATGTCCCCCCCTTCCTCCTGCTTCCCGCAGTTCTATATGCTGCACATGATGCCACATGACATGGAATATGACTTTGGTCATTTTGGGTCAGCTGTCCCAGCTGTGTCCTGTCCCAGTTTCTTGTGTCCCCCAGCCCCCTCATTGGTGGGGTGGGGTGAGAGGCAGAAAAGACCTTGACTCTGTCTAAGCCCTGCTCTGCAGTAACTAAACACCCCTGTGTTATCAGCACTGCTTCCAGCACAAATCCAGAGCACAGCTTCACTCTGGTTACTGGGAAGAAAGTTAAATCTATCCCAGCCAAAACCATCACTCCTTTGATTTCAGCTGGGGATTTTCTCTGTTGTTTTGGGGGTTCTGCTTTTTATGTTTATTACCAGTACTGTGCTCCTTTGGTAGCTTGCAAGACTTCTGATCTTATAAAGTACTGGTGCTCACCAGGGCAAAGGCCAATATTTTGCTTCACATATTTGAGGAGTGCTGTGAGGTGTAATAAGTTTGAGAAATGGTTTAAAGTGCTTTGTGTTCTTACATGCTGGGAGAGAAACATTTGCATTGTATTTGCTTGCTGTACCTGAGGGTTCTGCCTTCTGAAGAGTCTGATGGCAAACAGAAATGACTGCTTCAGAACTCTCATCTCTTCTGTAGTTAGTATTTTACTGTAATGAATTAAGTGGTTCCTTGAACAGAGTGCATTACTTTCTGTTTCCAGGAAGCAGAGCCATTGTAATGGAGTGCCAATATGGGCCAAGGAGGAAAGGATTTCAGCCCAAAAAAGCTGGTGAGCAGGAAAGCACCTCTAGCCAGCTGTACAAAGCCACTTGTCCAGCAAGGTAAGAATTATATATAAAGCTGTAAGAGTGACTGAGCATCCTAGGAAAGCATTCTTTCTGTGAGCCATGACAGAGCACTGGTTTGGGGTGGTAGCTGATACTCACAGCTCTTGTAGCTCTTTTGCTTTATCTCCTTGATAATTTGTGGTTGATACTCTTGTAGAGGTAAGGAGGAAATGCAGTCCTGTCTGACTGAATAAGGCTGAAATTTGATAGGTTCTCTGTATGCAAAGTAGCAATACATCACTCTATGAAATACAAGTGGGATTCATTATCTACCTGAGCATTCACAAGTTATTGTGGTTTCCTTTGGTGACTATTTCTGCTTCTAAAACTTTGTCATCTTATTTGTTGTTTCTTCAGGCTTTTAATTGCACTGATATCAGTCAATCATCCTAATTTAGCACATGTCCTGTGTGCTGAAAGAATTACAGTTCTTCCTGTTCACTGGGGATTTTCTCCTTCTTCAACACTAATGGTTTTTTTCCTCACCCTTGAGCATTCTCCTGGGTGCTTGTTCAGTGTTCACTGAGCTCAGAGTGTGCTTGATAATAGTTGCAGCTAGGTCTGTATGTGCTCAATTCTGCATAGCTGGGTGAACTGCAGCCTGTTCACAATTGGTGTTGTGGTTTTACTATAGTGAGGGACGAGGGCTTTTGCTGAGGAGTAAAATCACTCTGGCTGAGTGGCTTCCAGACCAGAAGTGTGTCTGTCAGCATCCATATCTATTAATGTATCCTTAAGAATTTGAAGTTCTTTTAGAGACTCCTCACACCTGACATCACTCTGCTTGAACTTTTTCTATATTAATGCCTGATATGAAGTAAGTGGGATTTTTGCCTTTCCCTTCCCAAGGACAAAGTATACTGATGGAGAATTTTTTTTATTCCTCCTTGGAAGGATCTATATTAAAAAGGTCCAAAAGTTTCCAGAATACAGGGTTCCTACTGACCCTAAAATTGACAAGAAAATCATAAGAATGGAGCAGGAGAAAGCATTCAACATGCTGAAGAAGAACTTGATAGATGCTGGTGGTGTCCTCAGGTGAAACTTCCACTTTTTCCTTTATTTTCACAAATGAAGCCAAAAAGAGCAGTATTTTACTTGATTTTTTTTTTTTACTTAGTCACTTGTTAATAGTAAAAAAATCCACAATGTCTTTAAGACTTCTGTGGCAGTGAAGTATTAATGTGTTAAGCACTAAGCTAAGGAACTTCAGCAGGTGTTTCCATGCAGGATATTGATAGAAATAGTTGTATTGTTTTAGGGTTGATCTAGTTTGTTTTGCATTGAAAGGTATGAAAAGGCCCCAAGTTTTGAAAGACATCTTCTTGCTCAGGGGCTGTAAAAACTTGTCACACTGACTAGGTTGTTGGTAGTCCTCAGACTGTTCCCCCAAGACACTAAGTTTTTGCCTTTGTTTGAGAATTGTGTGTATAACCTCTCTCCTTCTTGCTAGGTGGTATGTACAGTTACCTACTCAGCAAGCCCACCAATATCATGAGATGGAAACTTCCTGCCTCCCTCCTTCACCATCCCATCTTTCTATGTCTTCTCCTGAGGAGGAGGAGGAGGTCATTAGGGATGAGAACAGTACTCTGCCTTCTCGACTTCATCCTCAAGTGGCAGACAAGATCCGAGAGCTGGTGTCTCAGGGAGTGGAGCAGGTCTATGCAGTGAGGAAGCAGCTGAGGTACAGAACTGTCTGCAGTGCTCAGTCCATAGTGCTATATCTACTTCTGTAATTGATTCATTTGCTTTGCAGCTAAAGAGCAATGATGGTGCATTATTGAATCTAATTCCCAGATGTCCTAAGTCTGTTTTTCCCAACTTTTGATATCTTTTCATATCATTGTAGATAGCCTCCTGTAAGAGCTGCTGTACTCTTTAAAGTTACTTGAATAAATGGGGGTTTTAAATTCCAAATTCTGTAGCCAATGCACAAAGAACTGTCTCAGTAGATCATCTAGCTTGCTTTTGTCTTGTCATTGCAACAATGGGAGGGAGAAGGTAACAAGGTCTCTTAACAGCAGGAAATAGTGGAATATATTTAAGTATGGTAATAAATGTCCTTTAACATATGACAGAAAGTATGTGGAAAGAGAATTGTTCACACCTGATGAAGTGCCAGAAAGACATAACCTGTCCTTCTTCCCCACTGTGAATGACATCAAGAACCACATTCATGAAGTGCAGAAGTCCCTAAGGAATGGAGAGATGGTGTATAATTCAGAAAGTATCCCAGCAACGGTATGTTGGTCTTTGTGTATCTTTTTGATTTTTGGAGTTAAATACTGGAAATCTTAACTTTTACCACTTAGCTGTATTTCATCCAGAATTTTCTGTGACTTTATATTTCCAGCAGCAATATTTTCTGTGGAATCTGTGGCTGAGTAAGTCTGGATTAAATGTGAATAAAATCTTCTGACCTTACTCAGTATTTATCTTGTCAGCAGTAGATTGCTGTTAGTTGGTTGACAAATGACACCATATTAGCACTTTTTGATGACTGCGTGAACTGGAAGCCATTGGCGTAGAAAAATTGACACGTGGCATAAAATTTTATTCATGGCTTTGTCACTGTCTATGTTTTGAAGAAGCTACTACTGCTTTTCAGTAGCTGAAAAAATGGGGGTGAAGTGTGTGTCAGATGCTGTCTAAATTAGGACTTAAACATTTTGAATGTGTTAATAATAATAAATGCACTTTATAGTAAGTGCAGTGAGGTTGGAGTTGAATCTTCTGAATGCTCAGTAACTGTTAAACATTGTTCCTTAATTTTCTTCCATGTATTTAGTATTAAAGAGTAGACAGTGATCCTAGCTTTCCCAGTTATGAGACTAATTGCTAGGAAATGGCTGATTTAAAATCAGCTTTGACAAACAGCACTGTTAAATCATGCTGTGTCATCAGTCTTTTCCCTCTCCCCACACTGGTGTAGCCCAGGTGAATGAGTGTGCTTGTTAGTTAGCCAAATGGTTTCACTATTTTATATTTTAAAATCTATTAAACTCTTAAGAGCACGTAAAGCAGATAATCTTCCTGATACACATTGCAAGTTTAAAAATCTTTTACAGTACTTTTTTTTTGTGAATCTAGAGGTCCTAAAATGCCTAATTATAAAGAGGTAAGAAAATGTAGTTTTAGACACTGTTTTCTTATCAGTCCTGTATTGAGCCTGTGTTCCTGTAGACAAGCTTGCACCCTTTCTGAGAACTGAGTTCTTTTTCCTTTCAGCTGCAATGGACCACAGACAGTGGGAATGTCCTCACAGAAACAGTGACGGTTGCGTTTGCCTCAGCACCTTCCGATGGTAGGACTGCACGTGTAACCTGTGTCTCCAAATGTCTTTTATTAGCTGTGTCACCCAAGTTCATTTTCCTTCCCAGGAGGTTGCTGTCATGTCCTGTCACTCAGGTGAACTTAAGAAGGATTATTTTGCCATAATTTTTTTGGTTGACTTTTTTTTTTATTTGACTGCATGTGTGGCAAAATAGGTGTAGTCATGATGGTGTTGGCAGAAGTATTAAAATTATAAATTTGGCTTTTATTTAGCATCTTCAAGCAAACAGAAAATTTAGTGAACTTTTATATGAACTGTATACATATTTGTTTTCACTTCAACATATATGTATGTTTTAATATACATATTTGTTTTAATATACATATTTGTTTTAATTTCAACTTGTGCCAAATGGAGACAACTGTACATTTAAGAAATCAGGCAGTAACAGAACTTGTTTGTGCAGAACTCCCTATCTCCATGTGATCCAATTTTCTTTGTAGCAAGTAGAGATTTGAACTATTACCTTTTTTCCCAGGGGTGTCACTGTAGAATACAACCCAGGGAGAGAACTATCTCTTCCTGCATGTGAACATTCACGTATGCATATGGGATCTCTGTATAATATTCAGAATAGTCTAAATATTTGAAGTACTTGTGTTCAAGAAGATTTATAGGTTTGTATGTGTCTTCTGGTCAGTTGTGATAGTTAAGAGAGTGCAGATCATTATGTATGTTGAAAAACCTGCCTCCACTCAGATTGCTGGAAATTTTTCCTGTGATTTTCTGGTAGAAAATCTTTTGCAATTGATAATTTTCAAATTTTTGCATTCACCAGACTAATCTGCATTCCCAGGGCAAGTTCCTCTATTACCTCCATAACAGTGGAACTAAGAAATAAGAAGCTGAGCACTGTCTGCCTGTGTCTGCATAAAGCTTAACCAAAATATTCTGGGTGGCTCAAATAGGAGTGATCTCATGAGAAGTTTTCTTGCTGAAATTGTTATAAGCAAATCTCAGTTTTTGCAAAACTTCAGGAAATTAGGTGCATCATTCTTGCATTAAATAAGAATTTTGAGGATATTATATAATCTGTAGGCTGAAAGACCTCCAGATAAATGGACTTTACATGATATTGCATAGAAGTTAATGCTGATTTCACAAAGATGGGAAGGGAGTGGTGAGACATAGAAAATTTCCTGTGTAGATCTTTGCTTTGAAAGACAACACTTTCTTTTGATACCTGTGTGTTTCTAAGCCCTTACTCAGGTATAGTTATTGTCAAATTATTTGCTGCTTTGCTAGAAATGTTTGAGCTTTTATGTTATGACTACAAATTCAAAGTACAGTGTAGGGTGCAATTACTTTGCTCTCAAGAACAGATTTATTGGTGCCTCTGGTTTTTGCTTTGTACAGATACATATAAATTTCCTGCATTATTGTCTTTTTGTCATACCCGGTCTTCTTTCTTTAGCAACCAAGCTCTGCAAAGGGAACAGCATATGTGTATGGATATGTATGTCTTCTGTATATCTGTATTGAGATTGAAGGGAGTTTGGTTCACAGGGGAGGCTTTTATTAAACAGGAAGAAGAGATTTGTCATAACTGTCTGCTTCCTCACTTTGGCACCACAGGGAGCTCAGGAATCGAGTCAGTCATCACCAAAGCAGAATCCAACCAGAGCGGGGAGCCCTTGGTACCAGAAACAGCTCAGCTGCTGTCTTCACTCTCCTCACTTCAGCCCAAGATATTTGCACAGCTTCAGGTACAGTCAGGTCATGTACAGAACATCAAACATGCTGTTCTGGGGGTGCTGGAGGCAAGCTAGAACAGCATGTTCCCTCAGCAGATCCCAAACGTAGCTGGCTAACACACACTTTGAAGTAGCTGTCAGCTCTTACTCTGGTTGCTCTTGCATGTCACATTTACCAGGTGGCTGTGGTGCAGGGGATCCCACTTCCATCTTTTGACACTTTGAAGTTAGGGTCTCCTGTGAAGGCAAAACCAAGAGGATAAAAGCAGTGGGTTTCTACCTCAAACCAAGTTCATTTTCCATGGTCCAGTCATTTCATAATGAAAATGCTGCAAAACTGAAGGGAGATAAGACAATCTTGTTTATTCCTTTTAAATCCTTCTCCAGCTCTTAAGAAAATATCTTAAAATCCTGAAACTGCTCCTAGCTCAGAGCTGTAAACATGCAAGTTGAAAGGCTGGAGAGGGAGGGAAAAGAATGTCGTGCTAAAAGAGCTTCTTTTAAAGCTCATCTCCCTTCAAAGCTGGCTCTCTTATCCCTCTTCCTTAACTACTCTGAAAATCTGCCTTCATATTTCCTGAACCCCAACAAAATGCATGATTTTTTCCCTAGAAAAATGATCTGTAGTAAGACTCTGTTCTACTTGCTGTTTCTTCTCTTTCTGAGGACAGCCTGACTCCATCTCACATGATTTTATTTAAAGCAGTGTGCTTAGCTTGTAGTACCCACCTCTTGTGGGAATGGACAGTACTGGGGAATGATCTGAAACTGAACATCAATCCAAAATTAGAACTTTATGGTCAGAAGCAATCTTCTAAATGCTGCTGGATTCCATTGTCCTAATTGTTTTCAAGTACATTTTGAGCCTAGAGTTGCTGGGATTGAGTGTTCAGAAGAGTTAATGAGTAGGAAGTCAGAAGGCACCAAGACAATACATGCTGTTAAATGCAAACTCCTTCTGCTGTAACTACTGCTAGGTTGGTACTTCTGCCTTCTCTTCCACAGGGATTACAGCTGCAGTCAGCATTTACCTCGACAAATGGATCAACAGCCCTGCTAGCTGTAAATAACCATTCCCCTCCCAGCCCTGCAGGTCTCCTGGATTCCCTGGGGAGTGCAATAGGCAGCCATTCTCTAGCACTGGCTCAGGGGCACAGTCTGCAAGGTGCTGGTCTGACACAGGACAGTGCTGCTGTGCCTGCTTTTGGGGCTCTGCCTGCCTCTGATCAGAGTCTGCTTGCCATGGGCCAGCTGGTGCCAGCTGAAGGGGTGGATGACTCCAGAAACCTGGAAGGAGGAGTGCAGCAGATCCTCTTGGGAGATGTGCAGACTATCCCAGTACGGATTGTGGACAGCCAGCCAGCACTTAGTAAGTTGTAGTTTTCTCAATAATATGTCAATAATAGAATAGAGAAAATACAGTGGATTTTGTTCTGGCTGTCTTGAAGAAAGGAGACAAATGTGTTGATAGTGGGGAACTCCAAGACAGATTTCTTTCAGACAGTTCTAACTAGTTTTTTTATTTTTCTGTGGGAAAGGGGAAAGATGTTTTTTGTGGAAGGGATTTTATATCTCCAAACATTTTATTTTTTTTTTATAAATTGGTTTAAATATTGTTACTTGAGGGGAGCCTTACTGGAGCAAGTTCATGTCATCTTGCAATGCTTTAGAGCACAGTAGGTGACATAACTGGCTATCAAGCTAAAAAGCAGTAAACTTCATATATGCCTTAACTATTAGCTTGAGTTCCTGAAATATTTTTCTTTTAAATGCACAGTTACTGGGGCTGAAGCGTTGTCAATGGAGTTTGAACTTCAGTGTTTGATTTTTGTTTTGTTTTTAAGCTGAAGAAAATACAGAGGGTGTTGTTACTTGTGTGAGCCAAGTTAAACAAGAACCAAGAGAGAAAGCATTGTCTATGGAAACAGATAAAATCAGAGACTGCCACAGTTCCTCACCATAGTTCTTCACCTTCACCTGTGAAGCCTGGAAGGATTTTCAAATTGGAGAACTCTAAATGTCTTAGAAGGAAAGGCAGGTGCTCTCAAAGTACTGCCATTCTTTTTTAATTTCTGTATGACTTTCAGAATAAGCATATTTTAGAGTACTTCTGACAGAAAGCTGTTTTGCTTGGACTGATGGGGCTCACTACCAACTCCAGGTCATTCCGTTGCCCTGTGGAACACCACCTCTCTCTTCTGTTTCAAGTTTTGAGTAATTTGGATTCTATCCAAATGGCCATTTTGTTCATTGTTTCTGAAGGTCTTCCACAATTTAATTCCTTAGCTTTAGAATGTGGATCACAATGCTGGGTTCACATTTTCTGCTTGAAACCCTTGACTTTTATTGTACTACAGAGACCATAGAATCTGTCAGCTCCAAGATCACAGAATCCAACAGCAAAGTGGATCAGTATGGCAATGGTTTTGTGACAAAAGGAAGGTCCAGGATGCTAAACTTCAAAGTGATAAAGGACATGGATGCTTACGAAAATGCAACTTTGACCTGATCATAATGTTAATGGTGTGAAGATCAAGGAGTGGAGAAAGGTGAGGTTTCCAGGTGAACATAAGGTTGTATGATAAAGAAAAGTGTGTGAATTGTAACAGTGAATGTTTTTGACTTGACACCTTTGAACTTAAGTTCTGGCTTTATAATGAGGTTCATTGATGCATGCAGCCTTCCTTTGCAGCGGTACTGTAATTGCAGTTGGTCATAACAACTAAATGTAGGAGTCTTTCTCATGGAAAATGATTGATGCTGCCATTTCAGCTTATCTACCTCTTGCTTTGTGCCCTTGAAGCTATCAGCTCAGACAAATGTGATTTAAGCTGCTGTTGTTTGTTATGTAGGGCTTGTGGATACATTCCTAACAAAGAGAAGCCCAAGCAAACAAAGGAAGCAATCAAAGCAATATGTCCAAGTATGCTGTCACCACAACATTCAGAAAATATACTAATCTTTTTCAAAGGTGACATATTCTAAGACTTATGCGGTCCATACAATTCAAATAATTACCAGGAATCTTTAGAAAATAAAATGTGGTAAAAATTAAAGTTTAGTAGTATTTGAGGTAAAGCCATAGTAAGTGACAAGCACTGAGCTGCGTAATGTGTGACAGACATTTAGAAAAAAAATCACACCTACAAATAACTTGGAATCAATTTAAAGCTGTAAATGAAGTAAAACTGATAACAACATAGACATCAAGTTAAGCAATTGCATTGTTTACTTCAGATGTTGAATTCCTAGAGCAACATTCAGAGTAGTTTCTATACAGCAATAGGAGCCTTTTTGTTATTAGGTCCTGCTAACTAGTTGAGAGCTTGATCATAAAATAGGGGTTTTTTCTGCATGCTGTGGAAGAATCCAGTATGAGGATTCTCTCTTTTTCAGATTTGAAAACAAGCAAACAAATAACCCCAGGGAAATTTATTAGTTCATTTATGTAGAGAAGAAAGTGTTGTGAATATTATATGAACCAACATATTAACATTTTAAAATTGTTACTGTACCTTGCACTCAAGCATTCACAAACATCTTCTAAACAGTGGCGATTTAAAATTATTTTTTCATTTTATTTAAAGCTAAAACTTTCAAAAGCCTTACATTGAATTTGAGTTCCAAATGCCTTTATATGCAAAATCTGTTAGGTGCTGTATCTTAGTCTTAATATATATCAACTTCTCTGAGGCTAACTAACATTATAAATATTATTTGTTTAAAGCTAATGTTTCTGGGTTAGGTCCCATTAGAATTTTCCAACAGGATTATGCTCTTATTAAACAAGAGCCAGTATTTTATCAGGCAAGTGCATTAAAAAAATCTCCATTTTTTCGGAGCCTCTAATATTTAGTATCTACACTGACTTGTTTTATGGTATGCTTTACTCATTCCTAGGTAGGAAAAATCCCACAAGATTCATCTGTGGCACTTATTTATTTGGTTGGGGTTTTTAATCTTGCCTTATTTGTTTGTTGGTGGGTTTTTTTGGTAGGTCGTTTTGCTAATTGCCAAAATATCTCCCAGATGGAAGTTGTCTGCTGCAGTGTTAGTTCTGGAGCACTCACTCAGCAGTCCTCTTCTCTTTTCCAGCTCAAAAACTGCATACCAGAATGGGTACCTCCTTCTATGCTGCTGTGTTCAATAATTCCATCATGGCCAGCTTTTCTTAAAGTTTAAACTATTGCATTCCAACCTATATTCTCTTTCCCTCTGTTGCTCTTTTTCTGAGAATTTTTCCTCATTGTTGAGAATCCTTCTTTTCAAAAGAATAAATTACAGCTAAAGATTACCAGCAAGAGGTTGTTTCCGTTTTAGTTCCCTTCAAAGCAGACCATACATTTGTGATTGGAGCAAAAGCTTAAGGAAAGTCAAGTTATATTTCCATCAGTTCTTGCTTAGTTCCCTCATTAACAGTTCTGGTTTGTGCACAGTTCTTTCCACCATGAGCTACAATTTCCTCCTGTACTGTACAGTATTTCTGGTGGTATTTCTGGTTTTGACCTACTGCTCACAGCTGGAGAAAACCATCTTGAATTGCAGGTTCTGAAATTAATTTTGTATTCTATCCTGATTTGCATGGTACTCTGAAAACAATAGAAGAAAAAGCTGCAAGAATTTTAAATAAGCAATAAAGAATTAGTTGTTTTTAAAAGCTGGGGATCAGACTTGCAATTCTGTTATTCTATTTATTGGAAAATTTATTTTAAATGATTCTTGAGTCAATACTCACATTTTTGTCTTCAGTTTTCTTAATTTTTACAGAATTTCAGTTCTTTGTCTTCCAGATACATATTTCAGTTTATTACTGTGTCATTTATTTTAATTTAATGTAATAATTCTTTTTCAAAGTGTGTTTTACATTTGTTTTGTGTGTGTTGCTGAAGGAGGAATATGAACTCACCCCCATGTCCAGTCTCTATGTTTGATTTAATGTATTTTTTCACTAATATCCACCTATATTTTACAGAGAAGACTGTTATGTATCTGAAAAAGATCAGAAGTAAATGGTGCCACGTGTAATCGTTAAAGTTGTTTAAATAGAATACTCAAGGCTGATTTTTCAGAGTAGTCTGTGTAGCTTGATGCAGAATACTTGGTTATTACTTTGTGTTGGAATTGCAGATGTTTCCTTTTTCTTGTGGTTGTTGTGTGCAAGCGCTTATTTTGAAAATCTAGAATTCCTGACCTTCAACAGTACTGTAAATGAACAACTGATTCTCCAGTTATCCTTGGTTATCCTATGCACTTATCCTATCCAGTTATTGTTGTTGGTTGTCTGTAAGAGTGGTCGGTTGCTTTACAAGAAGAGATGTGCTTCTGTATGTGCATGCAAAGATAATCTTTTGGTAAAATGTAGAGAAGGTGTAAAAAGGTACATATCTATAGCTCTCATTCAAGGCTGGAGGCCTCTTGGATGGAAATTAATACTGGTAATGAGTGCTTTTTGTGGTACAAAATTATTGCAGTTTCCACAAAATTTAGAGGCACAAATGTCTGTGTATGTATGTGTATGTATATTTTTTTTCTATAGTAACTTAATGTAAAATATTCCTATTCAAATGTAAACTACTTGTTCTTTTCAAATACTGGTCTATTTTGTGGCTATGGGGGCTCATGGGGAGAAATGCAAGAGCTCTGTCAGGGCAGTGGAGATGGAGATGGAGAACAAGTAAGACAGCTTCAGGGAGAAGCTTCAGGTGGAAGAACTACTTCAGGTGGAAGAAATTGCTGAAAAGCAAGGATCCTGCTGGGAGGGCAGATGGGGGCTGTGCCTGGGGGGTTTTGGGGTTGAGAGCCCAAGGGCTCAATGCAGTTCTTGAGTCTATCCATAGTCCTCTCTATGCCAGTAGTGGATAGTGTGAGTTCATGGTAGGAATTTAAAGGTATGAAGAGAAGGGAAGCCTGCCCTGCCCTTAAAAGCAGAAAAGCTGCTTCAGTTTTGGTGAGCACCAGAGGCAGATAAATGACTCCCAATAGTCTGAGGTGCCCATTCTTAGCTTCTGATATAAAGAAGAAACTCCTCTTGGAGCTTCAGCCCAGGGCTGTAGACTCTTTTTCTTTACCTGTTACCAAGGAAAACAAACCTTTTCTTTCCAACTGAATTAACCTGCTGCTTTTCTCATCCCACTGACTGCAGCTCAGTATCTGCCCAAATGTCTCTTTCTTCAGACTTATTAAGGCTTCCACAGAAATCCCATGCCCTCAGGCCCTCCAATTCTCAGTGTTTCACTGCTGGACTGTTGAAGGAGCTGCTGAGTTCACTGCACAGGTAAACACTGGTGAGCTTTGCCCCATCAGTTTTTCTCCCTCTTTCCCCACAGTCATAAGTACATATATTCCTTTAAGTTGCAGTAAGGTTTTTTATTTGCCTGCTTAGGGGTTTATCATTGTGACTGGGATCAGTATGAAGGAGCCCTATTTTACAGACCATTTACATTCACAGCAACTGAAAAGATTTGATAAAACAAGGAGGAAAGGATGGTTTCTGCCAGCTGTTAGGGCTGACCTCTTTCATACCACTTGAATTCCTGATTCTGGCTGTGGGTAGTAGATGCCTGTTAAGTTGTCTGTCTGTTGGCAAAAGTGCAATTTTCTCCCTTAAGCCTATTCAAGCAGATAGGTTCTCAGATATTTGGATAGGAAGATTCTGTTCCATTAGGGATAGAAAGTGCGATACAGCTGAGGATGGTGGGGAACGTTACTGCTCTTTATAGGTCTCTGATGGGAAAATCATCTTTCATCTGCCTTGCCTTTCTGAACAAAGCTCTTGTAGGAATAGACTTCAGAGCCTATCCCATCAGTAGTAATTATCTTCTCCCCAAAACAATGCACCTCATTAATGAATGAAACCAGCCTTGTGTAAAACAGGTGGTGTTAATTTTTTAGGTCAGAAGCTATCCAGCTGGCCTATCCAAAAACAGCACCTAAGGCATGATCTGGGGGGGAAAGAAGAGAAGAGCAAATAAACAGGAGTGTGTGTGCATATGTTGTTTTTTTTTCAATGTAAGCTCTTACATCTTAGTATCCCATTCCATTTCTGATGCACATGACAAATGAAATGTTTATTTTCTGAAGGAATTTGAAGTGTTTTCTGGAGAGTCTTCAAAGGAGTGATCATAAATAGTATTGCTGTATCATGCAAACTACTGGTACATATTTGTCAACTAGGATCCCATCCTGTTCTTGTACAGAAGGGGTTTTAAAAGCATGGAAAGCTTTACAAGGAGTGCCCTTGTCCTAAGGAGTCTTCCTTGGACAGGAAAATAGGAGCTGTGGGAGTAATTCTCATCAGTAGTCTGTGTTAGCCTCTGATAGATAGAAGACACCTTGCAAAAAACATGTATATGATAGCCCCTCACACAAGTTACCTTTGGATACTTTGTAGTTTTAAAATACATATGCATACATATATAGATGTATGTACCTCAAAATAAAATGGAGACATGACTATAGTTGTTTGCACATAGTTCTTTAATACTATTTTAATTACACTTATCTGTGGTTAAATGATGCAGATATTTTAGGGCACATGCAGTCAGATCTTTTAATGTGGGTAATTGGAATTCATGTTTTTACTACAACCATCCTTCACTCTCTGCAGCGTGGCTCAGTTGGTCATTTGGCATGTACTGGCTTCTGTTAATGACATTCTGCCTGTTTAAACAAGAGCATGCTGTTCTGAGCAAATTAAATTTCTCACTCCTCCTGATCTTTTTTCTAACAAGGATTGATATGGCTCATCATGAAAATCTGTTTGTAGTATAGTGCTTTCACAAGAGTTGATCTCTGGGTCCTCACTAGGAAGGAACTAGAGGGCAAAAGCTTACATACTATTGGATCTGCCATTTGGACATTTGTCTAATTTGTCTGGATTTCTATAGCAGGACAGTGTCAATACAGCATAAACTGCCACTAAAATACTGTAAACATTCAGCTCTCTCCCTTGGTCAAGTGTTGATAGTTCAGTGGCTCCAGGAAAGATCATTTCAGAAAGGAATATTTCTGCTCTTTGGAGAACAGTTTCTGTTCTGTAGATACCATTTAGAACATAATTGGGTGTGGCAATCAAATGGCAGTAGGAGATCCAGAAACAGAGGTGTGTGTTGGCAGATCAGTGAGAGAGGGAGCTCAGTGCCAGTGTCCTTGTGCTAGACTGACATTGTCTGTGCTAGTCCTGAAAGCAGCCTTGACAAGCAGTGATTGTCTCTGTGCTGACATAGCTGTTCTTTCTCCTTGCCCACTCAAGAAGTTCTACAAGCCTTCAAGGAACGTGGAGAGCATGAAGGTGTGTAAGATCTTGTGAACGGACCTGCAGGAATGAAACAGAGGAGAATAAAATTTGATGACATGACTTCTATGTAATGCACTTTCTTTGGTGGGAGGAAGAGGATTTTCCAATAGAGAATAAAAGTAAATCTTCCTTTTCAGAATATTAGTATTATTGCTGACTCTCTCTGGTCTACTCAACAAAATGCCTAGTGTTTTGACAGATCTCAATGTTTTTATGAGTGTGTCCTAAAATGTTAATGAATACTCATTCATACATTGCCATCTTTGCATGTCATACTGAAACTGCAGGTCAGTGGCATCTCCTTGATCTCTTTACTGTCTCTGTGCATTTTATTAAAGTAAATAAAAGCTTGTTTATAAAGAAACAGCAGAGAGCTTTTATCCAGAGTCTTTCAGATACACACTTTTTACAGAGTAAGCTTTAACTTAATAATGTTGTATATTTCTAACCCTTTAATAACCTAAAATAACCAAAGCCTTTTCACTTTCTTTTTCTTTTTATCCAGAACATGAAGCATTCCAAACTACCCCTCAAAACCACCATGCTTAGAGCCTGAAAGGTTTGGCACTTTTCTTCCTCTGTAGGTGATCTTCCATCTGTGCTGTGTTCAGTGTCTTGCATCTAACACCAGAGTCCATAGTTAACACCTGTCCCATCACGTGAGGGCACTTTTTCATTTGCATGATCTACCTGGTCACTTGACAGCATGCCAGTAACAATTTCTGCAAACCACCTTTTGTTGATTAACATCTGTCACATCAGTTCTAGATGGGGCAAATTTTCTTTGTGCATGGAATTTGCATTGGTTTAGTGACACCAGTGGTGTCAAAAATAGTAAAGTCTCATGAACTGAGAGCCTTCTGTTGTGAGTTTGATCTTAATCTGAGCTCTGTCTGAGCTAGGGACAAATTCTGAGGCCATGCCTCTGTGTTCTGCAGTGCTTGTTGAGTGGAAGATAAATCTTCCAGCTCCCAAGAACAGTTGCATTTGTGTTTCTGCCTGATGTAAAGCTGCTGATACTAATCTCTTGAATGAATTCTGCTTTCCAGCTTAAGGGAAGATAAAGTCTTTGTGTATGAAAACTTGGTGGAAAATGTACAGAGAGTTGGGAGTGCCTAGAACAGTCACCCTCAAGTGTCCTTAATTTAGGAATAGGAGCTGGTAGAAGGAATAAGCAACTGAAGAATATAATGGAAAGTAGGCATTCCTGCTCTTTACATAGCATTGCCCTTACACAATACTTTTTCTTAAATATGTTCCTTGACAAACACTAGTCAGCAGTGAGAAGAAAACAAATCTCAATTTCTCCCCACAGCCAGCTTACAGTTTAACAGTGTTTCTGCAAATTAATCACAAGTTGGACCTAAAAATCTATCGTAGATCTAAGTTCAGTTTTGCTTTATCAGGTCACTGTTAAAGGTCAACTTTTTTGCATAGCTGTTTCTTTTAAAGCTAAAATTAAATGTGAGAGAGAACTGGAAATTTTGTTTCTAACAGAGGATACTTCAGTTGTCAGAAGTGTGCAGGTGTTGCCCCCTTCTCTTCCACTTTTATCTCTTAGTTCATTTGCTGTTTTCTCAGGATCATTTACCTCTGAGAGTAGTCCAGATAACTGTCAAGAGACCAGAGCAGAGAACAGAAGAGGAAGACAAGTTTGCAAAAAACTGCTTGCAGGAGATAGAAAGCTCTCAAAGCTACAGCTGAAGATGGCAATTTCTTATTGCTGAAATGGCTCCGTTTAGATGGTAAATGTTTTTTAAATATACTGCTTTTAAATTGTTGATTTTGTTACTATTTATGCTCTGAGCTCACATCTAATAAAAGATAGAATGTTAATGGTGTATTTTGCTTTTATCTTCAGCTGGTTATCTTCTGAATGCAAACTGGTCTGATAACTCCGTGGTCTTGGCTGTTGACAAAGCTGTTATCACATCTGAGCTGTTCTGTACGTGCAAGGAGATGGAGGAAGTGGGAACCTTCTTCACCTGACTTCTGCTGAGAACAGATGATCTGTGGAAAGAGGCCTTTACTGGTTTAAAATCAATATCCTCACAATAATTTCTTGGCTGCACAGGTTTTTCATGTCAGGTGCTAGTGCATCTCTAACTTTGCACATAATACAAGCCATAAAATTACCTCTCACTGGCTATATTTTTTGTTGTCTCCTACCACTGTACTCATTGCTTTTTGGGAGTGGGGAAATAGTTTTAACATGTTCTGATTTTTGACTTTTCTGCCTTTCTCCTGTTGCTTCTTTCTCATACTCAGAGCAGCACAGAAACAAATTTATCATTTTAGAAAATTTCTCTATCCTCAGTTTTGTTTGGGGGTTTTGTTTGAAATGTAAGCTATCATTGCATTTTGCTTAAGGAGTGGAAAATACTGGGGTGAGCTCCACTGTCCCCTTCACTCCAGAAGTCCTCAGAGGAAGCACCTGCCACAGGTTCTGCTCCTGCACCTGTATCTCCACACAGGCCAGCACAAATGCAGAGCTGTGCTGGTGACAGCAGTGTCTTGCACTTTGTGCACCAGCACCTTATCAGTACAAAGTTATTGCTGTGAGTCCAGCTCAGTCTGTGGGTCTGCCCCACTGTGTCCCACAAATGACGCTTTGGGCACAGCTTGAAAGAGAGCACAGGAGATGGCCAGGAAGTTCTTAATGTTCAACTTTGAGTTTGTGCTTCTGTGTTGAGTTCAGGTGCCCTGGTGTGGGTGGCCCTGTGCAGGACACAGCCAGTTCCTGGCAGCTCTGCAATGGACACAGGACACAGCTGAGCATATCAGTGAAGCTGGGGCACCTCTGGGGAGGGGTCTGCAAGAAAGGGAAAATGCTGCATGGCAGAGAGGAGGGAGGAAGAAGGTGAAACAGCCCTCTCAGCACCAAGGTCAGAGAAGAAGGAGAGGGAGGAATTGCTTCAGGTGCCAGAGCAGGTGTGTTCCCTGCAGACCACAGAGGATCACATGCCAGAGCAGGTGCAGATTTTTCTGAAGGAACTGCAGAGGAGCCATGCCAGAACAGGCTTCTGCTGAAGGACTGCAGCCTGTGGAGAGGACCATGATGGAGCAACAGAAAGGAGCTGTTACAGACTGCAATGCCCATATTCCTCTTTACCCTGTGCTGCCTTGGATGAGGGGAGACAGAGAAGCTGGGGGCTCAAAGTTGAGTCTAAGGAAAGGGGGCAATGGGAAGGGAATGTGCTGTTTGAATTTGCTTTTGTTTCTCAGTGCTTTAATCCATTTTAATTGGCAATAAATTAAATTAGCTTTCCTCATATTGATTCAAATATTGAAATTTACATCTGGGCACAAGTCATAGTGGAAAATCCTGATGTCTGTTTGATCACTGCAAGTCACTATTGCCTTTCATTTTTTATTTTTAAGAATTAATTTTGTGTGAAGGAAGTAGTGTACCTTGTCTGAATCAGGAATTCCATTTCTGGATGTATTCTAGTTAGGCCTTTCAAGTCCAGCATAGTCACTTCACTAGAGTAGATCTCAGGTGGAGAATTAACTCAGGAATATGTCTAATCCCTTACATTTCAGCTGGAAAACAATACCAGACGTATTTTTACAGGTTTGAGCATGGGAGAGTCATTCTGAGGAGAGGATGCTGCAGCAGTAGATTCTACTTTATGTACTTTGGTAAAGCTGTTCTTACAGGTGCTAAGGGTGTGGCATCTCCCCAGTGTTGTGTCTAGCAGTGCTTCAGAATGGGGCAAAGTTTGTGGTGAGTGGCATCTTTGGTGAAAGTGCTGTTAACTTTGGGAAAAGAAATAAGCAGAGTTTGGCAATGAGATTTATATTCTTGTGCTTTCCAGAGATTATTTTCCTGATTAAGAAGGGAACTTCCTTTAGAGGGTAAGTTTTATATGTAAGTTTTTACACCACCTTTGGAAAATACCTGGCACTGGACACCAAGGGTACCTAGTCAGGGTACTATGATGCACTTACTGCTTTATAATGGGGGCAATGGAATATAAAATTGATGGATAGCTTCCTAACATTAGCTAAATTAATCTTTTCATCTTCTCTCTTCACATTTCACTATAAAGAGAAGAGTCTGTTACAAGGAACATGGTGAATTGTTAGTTGTCCATAAAACTGTTTATGAACAGTTGGATGAAAATGACTTCTTTGATAATGAATTAGATGAGCTTCAGAAAGAATTGTACTTTCACTGGAACTTCAAGTATTTTCTTCCAATTGTATCACTCATTATTGATTATTGTCTTACTGTTTATTTGTGTATAATTTATTTGTTAAGCTTTTCTGGCCATGTCAGGGCCATAGAAGTAATACATATGGCAATTCTCTTTTTTTTTTTACGTTTTATAGAAGGGAAAGGAATTATTAATTTTTTATGTAGCCACCAGCTGCTCTGGAAAAGTCCATGATTATCCATGTTCCATAGCTACCAAAAATATTTTGTGCTCAAGTATTCCATAAACTTGAGATTTTTCCTTGGATCAGGCAAAGTGAATTTAACATCTTAAAAAAAAAAAAAAAGGCAGACTACACTGGAACCAAATCTAGCATCTTCAGGAGCTGTGACCTAGGGTTCATCAGTTGCAATTGTAAAAAGATTGAAAAAGATTGATGTTTTCATAGTGAAATGTTTTTATTCATCTAGTTTAATCTATGAACAAAAGTTTCTCCATTCCTCTTATTTCAGACTTCTGAACTCCTTTGCAAAATGAGAGATTGCTAGTGAGATTAGCTAATAACTACAAAAATGGAAAAAATTTCACTGGGGACAGGTGCTAACAAGATGTACCATAAAGTCAGCCAGCATAACTAACATTAGTAAGGTAAGAAGTTTCAGAGATTAACTACAACCTAATACTTTTGGTGGTACACTGATGTTTATTCTGATCTTGCAAACAAAAATAATGTTTGTGAGCCATTGCAGAAAGAACTGGGAAATAAAGCACTTTCTAAAATGCCAGACTGTGGTGGTTTTGGTTTCTGTTGGCTTTGTCAGGCTTTTATTTGGTGTTTTTCCTTTGTGTATCCATTGTAGGGTCTGTTTTATCTGATCTCTTATGTAGAGTAAGTTAAAATAAGTTAATAGTTAATACTTAGAGCATAAGACACAAGTACTTCATGGCAAGATATGACATTTCATATATTTTCTAACAAATAGTAGAAGTTACATATTCTTGATAATTATCAGGAGACATTTGAGAGACACTTCACATGCTGTATTTGTTCTTTTTGTCTGTGTTTCAGAATTGATGAGCTCCCATTTCTTTGAGAGTTGTCAGGAGTTTTTAGCAATGAAATTACTATTTTGAAATGAACTGTAGATTCCTGACTGCAGTTTAAATGGTTTCAAGTAGGGAAACCAGGTTTGTATTTAATTTTGAATGCCCAGAATTTCCATTTTCTTTCCAAAATGAAGAGACACTGGAGCCACCTCTGCACTCAGAGAAACACTGCTTTTTGGGCATAATGTTACGAAGCTCAACAGGTTTCCAGAGAAGTTTGACTGGCATCATAGCCAAGGATAGCATGTGTGAGGCAGTGATGCTGACTGCTCTGAGATGCCTGGAGTACTTTGTGTTCATTATTCAGTATCTTGCTGCTGACATAGCAGTGAGATGATAAAAAGATAAGAGTCCATGATAAATGTTTTGTTTAAACCCAGAAACAGAGACAACAGCTGGCATATTTAAAATTTTTACACAGGGGAGTATCGTGAGATATTTGAGGAGTGAAAAATTGTACTAATATCTTCTGTCAGCCAGTGTGCAGCATTGCTTTGTTCTGCAAACAGGTGGAGAGGGAGGGGTTGCAGTGTGGTGGCCCATGCAATCAGACAGGAGGTCTGTGAGGTGGTGCATGTAAGACATCAGAAAAAGTAGCACTGAAGGGGGATGCAGTGCCAAAGTTCTAAATGTAGATGAGCTCTAAGCAATTACCAGCATCATTAGGCACCACTTCTGGAGTATCAGCACTGGCAGATATGTGGTTATCTGAGCCTGGCCTGACCTGGTTTTCCACATCAGCTGATTGCCCTGCACTTCACCCTGTGAGTCCTTCCCCCTGCCCTGGCAGTAGGGGGTATGGCAGAGGCTGCAGTGTCCCTGCTCAGCACAATGCTCTTCTTTTCCTAAGAAAAGGCACAACATGTGTCTTGTGTGTGGGTCACTGGGACTCTCTGGCCACAACATGAGTGCATGAAGTTAAAGCATCTCAGACTGTATGAAGAGAGGAGAGGCTCCTGATTTCCAGTGCTACTTATTCTGCAACTTGCAACCTTGAATGAAGTCTGTGATCATCCCAGCAAGACTGGACTGGTTTGGATTTAACACAAAGAAAGATTCTTCTTGCATAAGCTTCTTCAAAACTGAGGCCTCATAGGGGGTTTAATGAGGTGCTTGATTTTTCTGGAATATTGGTAGCAGTGATGGACATGTGATGTATATGAAAGACGAGACTTGGATGTCCAAGACAGGACTGTAGGGGGATAGAATATAAGGAAATAAAGACAGTGTAGAAAGTAATCTTACCCCTAAGGGGTTGCAGCTGGGCCAATTATCAAAGATTAGGAACAGGCCTGACTTTAACAGGCCACAGCTGCAAGCAATGAGAAGCAGAGTGCTATAAAAGAGTGGGGTGGCTGGGTGAGAAAGGAGCTGGAGTCAGTGACTGCTTTGTGAAGAAGAAAGAGTCAGTGCTCTGAGGGGCTGCCCACGAGAAACACCAATAGGCATGAAACTTTTGAGATAAGGAGACAACAGTATGGAACCCCTGCAATAAGATGACCACACAGGACAGCAGACACTGGTGCAGAATCACTGGGAATGTCACAAACAACTGAGATCTGCAGTGCCTGCCTGGACTAGAGTTGTGGCTTCTGAGCATGAGAGAAAGAGCTCTCTAAACTACTGAGCACTGGTATAAAGGTTGGTGTTACTTCTATGTTCTAGTTTGGCTTGCAGTTTTCACCAGCAACTGTGTGTAGCAGCAAATTCATTTGACATTTCCTATCTTGTTAGGAGTTTTGCCTCACTCTGACATTCTTTGCTCTCTCTGTGTTTTGAGAGAATTGCTGTGCCATAGAGAGTGGCTTCCCGTGCCCCAGGCACAACAGAAATACTGTAGTCAGTGGA